ATAACTAACCCTAAGCAACTATCAGAATTTCACGTCTGCTAGCAACTGGGGGATGTTGCCAAATTTACAAAAACTATGGTACCATAGAGTGAGAGAAAAAATTCTACTGCATGGCGTTTCAGCTTGGGGCAGAAACCTCAGTACGCATGCCCAAAGACATAACATTCTGTACAGACCTTTTCTCTTGGCAATCACAAAGGCATATAAAACGGCCTCCACAAGCGCTTTAAATGTCATAGCAGGTACGCCACCAATGACCATTAAAACAGAACACAGAACAAGAGGCAACAAAAGTAAAAGTAGCACGACTGCGCCAAACCAGCGCATTCAATAATACGATGTACCACCCAACAGATTACGAAGAACATAAGCACAGTTTTAATCTACATCCAAATCATCTGTGCTCAGAAAAGATGTCATAATAGATGAGATTCCATTCCACAGGGCAGACGCGCGTACGAGTTCTTCCACAGGGTCAGTACACACAGGTTAATTTCAAACCTGCATGTAATGCGCTTCGTAACTGGACACGGGCCATTGCCCAGTTACTTCTATGATAGGCACCTAACAACTACCAACGTCTGTGTATGTGAAAATGTGAAATGTGGGCAAACCTGATCATTATCTGACATCATGCCCACGTACACGAGACTTCCACCACGCTTTGCCAACTACAAATACAGCCGCTTGCAAAAGATTCATGGTCAAGCAACATTTAATATACAGAGGAAAATACGACTAATGATGCAGAAACTAAGTGCGTTATGATGCAAAAACTAAGCGCTAGGCATTAACTAAACTAGCGCTTAGTTAATGATGCAAAAACTAAGCGCTAGGCACTGAACTCTGCAGTGGTCCCATCTACCCGTAGGAGTCCTAACTCTTACATAGATATTTATATCTTTATTCCAGTTAATGCAATGTCAATGCATAACTTTAATGCTCAATCTAATCGAATAGGAAAATGCACATTTTATCTTATGTATGTATTAATATAATATATGCATGCATGTACTATTATTGTATAATGTATAATGATGTATATAGTTATAAGTTGTACAATTTGCACTGGTATATGTCTGTAGAGTTTAGAAAATTTTTATTATTGTAAGTACTAATATATCCAGTGCACCTATTAATGTATCGAATGCACCTTTTATGTAATGCATGTGTTAATGTAATGTATGTGTGACTGTATTAGTTATGTATATAATTATAAGCTGCATACTATGCACTGGTACAGCTTTGCAATATGTCTGTAGAGTTTAGCAAATTTTATTATTGTATGTATTAATATATCGAGTGCACTATTAACGTATAATGTATTATGTAATTATATTGATATATCGAATTCACCTTTCATGTTATGTATGTATCAATGCAATGGACGTGTGTATGTGTTATTAATGTATAATGCGTCAAAACTATCAAGTATATTGGTCTAATTATAGATAAAAAATTTACCTGGATACCTCATCTCCAAGATAAAATTTAACAATCGTCAAAATGGCACACACACTAAGGTCAATGAGAGGTTACTCCTCGGGCCTCCACACCCATATTGTGGAAATGCTGTTGACAACAGTCGTAAATAAGTTCATCACGTATGGGGCTGCCATCTGGGCCCTGCCAATGACGGCCAAAGTTCGCTCTCTCAATGCCATCCAGCGTCCTGATTTTTCTCCGGCAGGAAAGTGCTTATTTCTCCAGCAAGCTCTTATGTATGCCATTACAATTGCTGGATGTGTACAATACGTAACTTTAATTATATTGTTACCAATCACATCTGGCCCTCTTTCTTTATTGTAATTTATTTTTATGATAGTTTTGAGCTCTCTTGTTGGCATCGGTTCTATGTGCTCAAGAATAGGTGTTGCTTCACACTAGTTCTGATATCCTGTTGCAGCTCTGTGTCCATTTTTGGGTCACCGTTCTTGAAAATATTGATGAGAATGTTCTGAACCACTTGCAGCATAGAGCTAGCGCCTGTGCAGATATCAATACTCAGATTTAGTGGATGGTACACCTTATCGTGGGCTGAACCATACTTGTCGCTGCAGAATTTCTTCCATGAAATCAGCTTAGCTCTATTAATTGCTCTCTTGTATTCTGCTCTGTATTCTTTAAAAATGATTGCTTAGTATTGTCGCTCTCGGGAAACGTGACAGCTCTGCATCCTGTTTCTAATGGCTTTGGCAGCAGTGGCTGACTAAAAATAAGCTATCTCTGGGCCGGGTGATGTAAGCTGCGACACGGTTAGGTAAATGATGCTTCATCCTTGTTATACGGATGCAGCAAAAATAACTGCCTAATTTCAAGCATAAATAATAAAGCAATCATAGCTATTATTCAAAATTTTATTTCAGAGTTTGAAAGAACTATATTTACCACTTTGGTGTTTTAAATTCATCTTCACGTCGTTTGGAAAATTATATCGCTCAAATGTCGACCTTCATTATGTATTCCTAGAAACTCATCATTATTTTTTGGCGGACAGCATCTTTTACTCCTCAGTTGTTCATGGCTTATTTTTGTAGACTTCAGAATCCTACAGAGGAAACAGTCACAAGCTGATAGATCTGGGGAACGTGCTACCCATGAAATATCACCTCGTAGTATGATCAGACTCTTCGGAAACATTTATTTCAGAAAGTCTATCGATATTCTGGCTGTGTGAGCTGTAGCACATGTTGTTGGGACTACATAGCCAAATTCGTATGCTCGTATTGTTTCGGCTGCAAGAAACTACGTAATATGTTCACATAACAAGCGGAAGTTATTGTAACTGCTTTGCCGTTCTCCTCAAAAAGAGTATGGGTTTATGACCTCAAAATCTGTAATAACATACCAGGCAGTAACTCGTTCACTATGGAGGGGTAGCCCTAATGGATTCCTTTTCCATTGAAATATGGTAACCGAAATTTTTCGCGATCATAATACTTCATTTATTTCGCACAAGAAAGTGAAAATGAAATACAACTAATAAATTTCTGATTACCTGATCCAATTACATGATACGGTTTCGACACTTCCAGTTCGAATAGTCAGAGTTGTCATCTCTCAGTGAGTGTAACTCCATATATTGTCGTGGTTTTCCCCATGTGTAACGTGTATACGAGCCAGTTTCCCTTAGAACGTCCTCCACGAAAGGCATCCCTCCTCTTAGGCAGATAGCCCTAGTGTGCTTTGCCATAATTAAATACACCACACACCATATATTGTCGACAAATGTAATATAAAGCAATACAGAAATAGAAAATAGTGCATACAAATTATATTACATAATAATCATATATTCGCATATGTAATTTTTTTTTTTTTTCAATTGGGTTACTAAGTAACATTGTACGGACGGAGTAAAAGACTCTTTTGTTTCAAAACTGATTGTAAAATGGATTTAAAATGAATCCAAAAGGGATTGTTTCAGGACGTCTGTACGTATATACGTAGGTATTATATACTATATATATATATATATGTGTGTGTGTGTGTGTGTGTGTTTAAGATAAAAATATGAAAGCAAACTTCTAATTTTATTTGGCTATAACCTCTTTTGTTTCTTTATTTAATTTGGGAAATCCTCTCTCTGTCTTAAAAATAGCGCTATATGTCTAAACTGCGATATTCAAATTAATCATGCGGTCTTACGTAACGCTTAATGCATATGCCTCTTGACCAATCGCCAAACTGTAAACCAAAATTTAAAACTGAAACTTTTGACTCCCTTCCTTTTTTCTCTGAACTGATGCGTCACTTTTCACTTCAGCTTTTCTTTGTGCACTGCTTGGACGTAATTATGCTGTGCTCGCTTCCTATCGCAGAAGTTATCAAATATGTAAATGCTCTTTAATAGGCATAATTGGAGTGCCAAGTGAATTATGACCACAGATGTGAATTTAAATACATATGGAATTTAATCCGGCTAGACTGCATTTTCTTCAAAATGGATGCACTCTCTAAGCATCAAGTATCTTCGAAATCAGCGTTTCTGCGCGTCTGCGTTTCAGTGTTCTTATATCAGTGCTTCCAAAATTGTGCTTTCATTATATATATACTATATGACATTTTCCAAACATGAATATTTTCGAAGGAAAATATTCATGTTTGGGAAATGTCAAACTAAAAATAATCTTTTTCGACAAATAACGAAATTTTAATATGTTCTCCAGGATCCTATGCTTTTATCTAGGAAAGTTTTATATTCGTTACAAAAAAATAAAAATTATAAGAAGTTTGAATTCAGAACGACGAGAATTTAATTTCAAAATTTGCAATTTTCCATTTCATTTTGAACTTGTCTTGAGAGATGGTTAATTAAGTTAGAATAATTGAAGGATATGTTTAAATGAAAAGCAGAAAAAAATGTGTATAATTTATTAGGCCGTAAAAGAGAATAATATGGTACCCACATTCGATTTTTTTCTCATAGAACGTACTTTAGGATCAAAAATAAAAAAAAATCCTTTCGAATTAATTTATTTATTAATTTCTGCATAATTTTATCCTGTTATATAACAGTCATTGAATATTTTTCAAGAATTATTTTAATAATGTTTCCATGGTCAATTCTATGCCTGTTGTAACGATGATCCTGATCACCAAATTAAACCCGGGAAACAGCTATGGCAGACGTGTTCTCATTGCTGAAGAAAATATGTTTTTATGGCTGGTCAGAAATACAAATTTTTGGAATGTTGCAGTTTTAAACTAATGGGAAAAAATCTAAGCTAGATGGGTCATTAATCGATAAAATATAAATATAAAATAGGAATTATAACAGCTGCATAGTTTAGGTAAAAATCTTAAAAGTAAATCTCCTAATTATAAATAATCATATATAGAAGTTTTTCTCCAAGCAACTTTATTTGAAGTTTCCCTTGCATATCAATTTAATAAAATTCATGGTATGATTATATTATGTAACAGAGTACTAAATACTTACTTTTATTAACTATTTTCTTTTCTAAAGGTTTCTCTTAAGAAATAAAATTAATAAAAAATATTGATCAAATAATTTTATTTTTACAGAATGTATATACAGGTCTGTTGATAAAATATTAAAACAAAAGTTGAGTCATTTATATTCCCAACCTAAACAACAAATGTAAATAATAACAGGATACAATCAAATGAATGTGCAGCTTGAAAAACATCTGTTAGTGATAGTTTCAAATCAAATTTGCAGCAAGAATGGAACTGCATTAAAATTAAAAATTAAAATAACAAAGTCAACAACTGAAGTCTCGCTTTACAATTTTTCATAATAAAGAACGTAATCGGAAAAAAATGTTGAAAATTCATATACTAATTGTTAGAGAACTAAGAATCAATCTTGAAATTTTTCCATTTCCAAGAGGGAAAAAAATGGCAGTTATTTTTGTAGAGTTAATGTCTTTCTCAGTACATGTGCATTTTAAAAATATGCATTTAGACCTATTCTTTTGCATATTTTTTCCTACATATATATGTAAATATGCGGCACAGGGATTCAAGAAGATCTACGACTTGCACGAGCGATACTCCCAGCCAGACGCCAATGAAGCCACCGATGACACTAAACAATTCAACATCCTGGAAATACAACATATGTTAATAACTATAAGTTCGTAATATAATCATTAGCTTCTAGTGTTCGCATCGACATATATACGAATAAAAAAATTATGGTTTTACAAAGTTAAAAACAATCTCTTGTTAATAGAGTTGTAATCGTGGAGCAATGATAAAAAGACTTTTATTATTTTTGCAGTCTGCAAATACAAATATTTGAAACTCTTGGTAGAATTTCTTATAGTCATATTATGAAATGACTGATGATTTGTCAATTTAAAGTCTTACGTACAAATTAGTTATTTCTCATGTATCATGTACAGAACAGTTATCATCATCTCATGTATAGATTAGTTATCATCATCTTATGTATAGATTAGTTTATTTTAGTTAGTAGCTAATTTAATATCTCATGACAATATTATCAATTTAGCATCTTACATCTAGTATAAAATATATAGATTCTTGATCTTTAATAATTTAATTTTGAAAAGATGCATAATACTTGAATTTGACAGCTGGACGTGAAAACATATTAAAAAAGCATTTCCATATTTCAATTTCTTCAGAATTCAAACTTTTAGTAAGGAAAACAGTCGTATTAAACAACAACAGAAGCTTCAATATAAGAATTTTATTTCTTATAATGTGAGATCATAGAAAGAGATTCAAATGAGCATTCAAATTAAAAGAGATTAAAATGAGGGAACAAATATTTCAAAATATAATAAAATATATAAATTTTGCTAGTTTTCTTTAAGTTTGCAATAGAGATTTAGAATTATCTTTTTCATCTAAATTGTTTGAATTTAGTGTATTACAAAAGATAAACACTGCGCTTAAAAAATAAAAGTTTTTTCATTGATAAATCCATATTCTAATACGGGTACTTTAGGTTTGGATTGTAAATATCTTACTTAGAATGAAATTGCATACATTAATAGCTTTTTATATTTCCATGTTTCATGCGATTAATTTTTCCAAGAAAGCGCATCTGCAAATTTCAGTTCTGTTAAATCCGAGACATTTAAACTAATAAAAAATTAACATGCATTTTTCTTAACCAGTAGACTGATCAAAGTGATAGAGACAAGATTAGCGCGATAAAGGATTTGCTTCCTATGCACTATTTCACGAAATATCTTTAAGTAACAATTTTTAAATTTAAACAATTGTTACTTTTTGTTTCATAATGAATATATAATGAAGTAAAAATAGAAATGAAAGAATACAGACAAATTCCGTTTTAACGAAACTGGCTTATAAAGAAATCCCGGGTTAAAAAAGCATCCAATTTCGCGTACATTTAATGTCGTTTTGTATTTAGTATATAGAGAAACTCCAAATGTATGAAATTCGGATGTAACGAATTTAATCAGATACCTTCTTCTTATATGTTTTATAAATTTCTGCAGAATTCTTGTAAATTTTAACTAAAATATTCATAACTCTTACATTCATACATGTTGAACCTAATAGAATAGATAAAAATATCTTTCATTACCTAATCTTTTAACCATATCCTTTTCTGTGTTATAAAGGATGATTACAACTGCAATACTTAATTCTCGAAAAAACAAGATAAATAATGAGCATAATTTAGCATATTTTGGTACGCAATAATCATCGAGCCAAAGAACTTGAATGGATTTTCTGATTACTTTGAAATTCTTTAAATGAGCTTTAATACAGAGCTCTGTTCAAGGTGCAATGATGGAAATTGTGAAGATTTTGCTGTGCAGGGAAATAAGATGTTGTGAAAGATTCTTATGATTTATGCAGATGATTCGTCTACAAATGAATTAAAGTTTTTTATCATTATCAGTTTGTTTTGCTCTAGTGTTTAAAATGCGCCCCGATTTCCTTCTTCTTCTGAAGAAGGGATGTTTGGATTCCTTAAGTCTTTCTAAATATTAAGATATGTTTATAAGGGCAAGTGCAGCTTTGTTTTGTAGCCATATATATATATATAATGTGGAAAATGGGTACGTTTTTACTGGACATAGAAAAAGGACAGATAAATGAATCAATTAATTTCCTTTTAATTGTTTCAAGATTGACAAAATTGCACATGATCTTTGACCTAATTGTATTCATTCTCGCTGCTGTAACATTTTTGTGTCAAAATCTCGTCCACAAGTAGAGCTGTGTTGAAGACGAGGAAGTTAAAATTTTCTTCACTGAAGATAAGATGAGATTTATTTGAAAAATGCAAAATGGATGTAGACTGGATTGTAGTTTGTACGAATCTCCAGTTTTTACCATGTTGCAAATCCAAACTCAACAATTCCTTCCTGGTGAAAAAAAATTTGGATACCAGTTAAAAGCTGAGAAAATCCGAGTATAAGGATGCTGAACAAATATTGATGAGTTGGTTCGCTAAAGAGAGGAACCTCAATATGTCAATATCTAGTTAAATACCTCAAACAAAGGCGAGTAAGTTTGGTAACATTTTGACGAAATAGCCTTTTAATGCTGTAATGTCTAGTCGGATAAATTAAAGAACTGGAACGATATTTCTTCAGAAAAATTTGTTGGCTAATCAAGGGAAATTTTGAAATTTGATGTAAAGAAATGAAAAAAAATTAATATGATGTGTCTCGCCACCGCGAAGAAACTTATATTTATAACGGTAATAAAATTAAATGTTCTTCAAGGTGATACCAAAACAAATATTAATTTTAAAGAGATAAAATGAGTTCGAGGAAAATTCATAAAATTGCAATTCAAGCGTTGTAGGATTTTGATGATTGCAAAATTTCGAAAACCAAGTTATTTAAAAATGTGAAGCTGCTGCCTATTTCCTATAAAGCTAATCAAAAGGTATGGATGACGTCGGGATAGTTTGAAGAAGATGTAGAATGGGGGTGAATTTTTCTGCCAAAAAGCGATAGATTCTACTCTTGAGTCTTCTTGATACTTGCATATTTATATCGAATATTTAGAATGGGATAAAACTGTTTTCTTTCCCAGGAATGATTGTTAAATCTCTTGACGAAAGAGTTATCAGGAATTTGAAATATCATTACAGATAGCAATTCGTTTAATGAATTTTAGAAAAGACAAGCATGTACATTACAACATTTCACCTCTTGATGCAATTTTTCGGTTAAATGCGTGGCAACATATTACAAAGCAAATCAACCGAAAGAGTTTTCGGGACTTTAGTCTAACAAAGAATGTTGAAGGTGATGGAAACGAGGAATTGTCTAGACAGAAGTGGCTAGGAAAAAAAGGTATTTTATTGTTTTCAAAAAATGAAGGGTAGCTTTTTTCAAACGCCTGATGGCAATGTTACTATATGTGAATGTTCGATTAATGAAAATATTCTGACAGACCTAAATATGAAAAATGCTGACATCGATGATTCAGGTTTCGATGTTCATAAAAATGTTGGGAAAATGCAACGCATGGAATGGAATACAAACTTCTACAACCGTAGATAACAAAGCCGCAATACGTGTCACTTAAAAGATTCGGTTCACATAAACTGTGAAACCGAAAGAGATGAAGTCTTATTAATTTTGGAACAAAGCTATGGATAACATTTTTCTGCAGTCTGCATTCCGCTAGCAAAGAAATTGCAGAATTCTTTTGCATTTTAACATTAAGTGAAAGTCGAAAGCAAAATCATCAATACCTTTAATTACTCATTTTTTGTTTGAAATTTATAGATAAAAGAATATTCATAATTACAGATGTTTATTTCAGAAGGAAAGGTCTGAAGCATGGCTTTATCATAAGTAATTTATAATGGAAAATTTGCAAGATGTAATGAAATTGAAAGAGAATGAAAAACGAATTTTATAATTTCAGATATTTGCAATTAGCTTTTAATATTATTTTTAAGAGATAATTAGTCATTATTCATTTCATTTGATAGATATAATAATTGCACATTAGACATTTTCAATTAAACTTCAAATACAATTTAAAACAGTAGTTATTGTTCAGTTGTTTTGGAAAATGCAATAAAGCTAATGAGGCATTTTTAATTAATCAATTAATTTTTATAGTTTTGTGCGAAATAATCTACTTTTGTCACCGGATTAAATATAGCAAACTACCAGATATAACAAAATATTCTAGTCTTTAAAGTTAATTATAACAACGTTTGACCATCTAGATTGACTGTATATTTGCTTAGAAATGTACCAAAATAAAAAAGGCGCCATCATTTTAAGTATTACGGTGAAAATGCATTTCCTTCTAATTATATAGATGATTCATTTGGTCATCGCTAGATGCTTCACCGAGAATTTTTAATTATACATTGAAATAACAATTAAGTATGCTGAGAATTTTGAAATTGTATAATTATTTTTTATTATTTTCAATAACGTATAAGCGTCTAGATTTGTATCTCTTTAGAAATTATAATTCTGTGAATCTTACTGTGAACAACATGAAGGGAAAAATTAATTCATATTTTAGATTGAGAGACCGAAGTTTGAAAATTTATTTTGGGGAACGAACATAGTCTATGATATTTTTTCTTTCACATACTATATGCCCCTGCATTTTAATCGAGAAAGTTTCCACAAAATTAATATGTATACAGAAATAAATCAGCTTGCAGTATCGTCAAATATTTTGAATTTGTTTCTAGAGCATTATAAATTTTAACTTCCAATTTCTCAACGTTGAAAAATATTTTAGCTAACCTGAAATAAAATACCTTGTGCAATCATTTTTTCTTTCCACCAAGAAATGTAACTGCTTATTTAATGATAAAAAGGGATTTTAAATACGTTACCCTGTATTGCGGCCTGTGTTGAAAGCGTACTACTTCATACATATCTAGATAAATTTCTACTGAGATCAGTCCTCTGAAAAATAAAGAGACGTTATTCATAAAGAATAAATAACATAGATATATGAAAAGTAAGTAAGCCTTCAGCACATTTCATTTTGAAACATAACATAAAAAAAAAGGAAAATCGATAATTCAACTTAAATGAAATCCCCAAAAGTCATCCAGTCCCCCAGAATGTTACCATGAAATTTCTTTTGAAAAAAGTGAAAAATCTGTCAAAACTAAATGTGGAACCTGCTAATCACAAGTAATGGACTCCTTGAGCAATAGTCTCGATCATACTTTCAGCATGGGGTATTTCCTAATTAGGAAAACTGCTACTCTTGCTGCATACAACTCTCAAGATTATAGTATTTCACCCAGTAATGGCGTATATAGTGTACGTTACAGAAAGTTTCAAAAGCAAACTTAATACAGTTAAGAATAGTAACAATACAGACCGAATTGGCAAGAACCTATATCTCTTTTTAGAGAAAATTAAAGGTTTAGGTATAGAACAACAAAGAAGCTTAATTAATTAACTAAATTATTATTCACCATAACCTCTTTGTTAATTAATCTTATTAATATAGGATAGTAATACCAGCGCTTCATTCCAAGATAGGAAAACTATTCATTCCATTAGCCTATACAAATTTACTTGTGTCTTTAACTTTTATTTTCCCCCCGTCTCCAATGCTTCGGCTTCTGTATCAAAGTTGAGTCCTCCTACCCTCTGAAAATTCTAACCAATACTTGTAAATTAATTTGCACTGTTCGATCAATTTTCTATTTTTCTGCTTTAGCTTTTTAGCATAACACCAGCAGTCACGTGATTACACTCATTTTAATCCAACTCAAATTTGCCCTGAACGTGATATTGCTCTGGGCCGACATATTGCTTTAGTCAGAAGCATGATCCGCAATAGTAATGCTGTGATTCATTTATGATCTGCAGTAATCCCAACGAGCATATATTGAGCTTTGCATTCTCCTTACCAACTTGTGCATATTTGACTCATCACCAAAAGAAAAATTCCAGTGTCACTTGCTTTGGGATAACGTAAAGGCATGGCTTTGCTGTTTTCACCTGAACTGTCTGTAAGTTCTGAATACATAAATTCCTGAAACGTGTAGAATTAAGCTTGAAATTAATTAACCGCATAGATTCAAAATTTATGATAAAAGACGCATAGCATTATTTGCACATCTTCAATTTTGGTGGTAAGCACTTCGGGGAACGGATACGATGGTTCCCACCCGTCTTTCCCTGCCACCAAACCATTCGAGAGGACTTCTGGATCATCGTTATTTTAAATGCCTCAGTGCGCTAGAGACACTATACCCTATACCAGACATTATACATTACATCCTATTAGTTGTATAGAGACTCTGTACCACTACATCAGGGTTCGAGCCCGGTCTCAGTAGTACTATAGTCAGCGTCATAAACACCTATACTGATCAGGGTGGCATATTAAAAGGCAGCAGGAAATGCAAACACAAACGGAAATTTATTTAAAGAAAAAATTTGCTGAGAATCACTATCAGCGTTTAAAAAAAAGCGGGCGGGTGTAGAAAATGCTAAGTAATTTAATACAAACATTTTCTTCTTCAGTTACATTTCATCATACATACAGTGTATTATGATATTGACTAATAAGACCATATTTTACTTTGTCTGTTAATTTTATGTTCTCCTTCTTTACACGAAATCGCTTTTATTTCTTGAAGAAGTTGATCCTATTTACTTAGCTCTTTTGGAATCAACTAGTTTTTTGTAAACTCGGCCTTAATTTAAAGTAGGAATTTTATATAATGTTAATCATGATTCACGTTTGATTCGAAACAATAGCCCTTATAGTCTGGGATTTTAAGCTTTCAAAGACTACAGAGACAAAAGCTAGAAACACACCAAAAAAAAAATGGATATGTCCTGCTCCTCAATACGAAGCAGGCCGTACACCAAGATTCATCCCCTCCGAGCAAGTAGTCAGTATAGCTATTTATTGGAATGCAACATTCCAATAGCCACACTGACTACTTGATCGGAAGACACTTGATGATTACGTATTTAGATGGCTAAATCTCTCGGTCATTTAACCATCTCATTGTCGAAATGTAGTCTACGACAGACCACAATAAAATTCGTTAGAAAGAGAAACAGACAATCACAGTTATCCATGATCTCTCCAGGTTTCGAATCAACACTATGGCAGTCAGCTGTAACCACCATACCGATCAGGGAGGCTTACTAAAACAAGCCGCAGAAGCTTAATGCTTCAAGAATTTATAAAATAAATGAAATTAATAATGATTTGTGATCATTTCTAATTTCTAGATTTAACACTCTGCTGTATGTTTTATTTTCTAGGCTGAAATGGAGATTGAAACTTCGATGGTTTCAATCCTGAAAGATGTTCACGATGAATCACGAAAAGGGATAAATGCACATCAGTTTTAAATAAATACGTATATATTTTTTTCTAAGAAAGACAATGTGAATTTTAGAAAGTACTTCAGTGATGATTTAAGTGCTGAGCTTATCAGGACTTGTATTCCTCTTTACTTGCTTTGGAAAACATAAACTGTCCTGACTCGGAACAGGGAGCTTACTCAAGCTATGTTCAATAAATTGTGAAGTAGACAATACACACAGGAAGGGTATACAAAACCCTTTATTTTTCTATCTTTACAGCGATTTCCGGAACTTCGGAATACAGAGACCAACCACTTGTGGTCTGAACGTAAGAATATAAAAATACTAACTAAAACTAACTTTGGATTAATATACAAGTGCCTAACTTTAAGATTGGCCGTTATTTAACAAAACTCCGTATGTAGTACAGAGAGCTGCTAAAACTACGATACGTTTGAACTTATCAAGAGGACTAAACCTCTGCCCTTGAAGGCAACCAGCAACCGAGTAAAAAAACTATGGCAAGCGGCCTGCTTCTAATAACTCCTCCTCTCTCTTGCTTGGCAAAAAGCCACAACTTAAGTACTTGGCGTTAGCAAGACAAATTTGCATAAATAAGTTAAAGCTTTTAATTCTAGCCGGAAGTAGAAAATAAGAAGTGATAGTAGAGATTTAAAATAAAATACACGTTAGTAAAACTTAGGATCCTTACAAGCTCTGTGTCTGAAATCAATATGGAGACTGCTTTAAAAGAGATATATTTGAATAAATGTTACCGTTTGAATAAAAGGTACCAAGTAAAAGTTTTCAAAATTTCTTAGATCCTTATAGGTGTTCTCTTTAATCCACGTAGCCTACTTTATAAATACACTGCTTAAAATATTATAAATATCTACTACATCTACTTACGATGCTTTAAAACATCGGTTTTAGTAAAGGGAGATTTTAACATCGAATATAAAATAGTTTATAACTTACTGAAAAATCCGAAATTCTAGATTAATTTTTGGAGTATGAAATCTTGCAAATAAAGAGGAAAGATTTTTAACTGTTCTGAAGCTTTTTAATTTATACCAAATGCATTTCATCAAATCAATACTGTACAGTGGCATATAACAAACTTAAACTATTAATATAAGAAATCTTCAGATTTCTATTTTATAATTAAATATAATTAAATTATTTTACAACTAAATAATATTAACGTAACTACAAATCCCGAAGCGCTTATTTAAGGAAACATGAGGGAGTGTGCAAAAGTAAAATTTAAACATTTGCAACCACGTAAACATCACTTTTTAAATATTTCTGTTATTCCAAGTCAAATTAATTTTAATTAATCCTTTCTTATTTAATATTTGGACAGTAAAATTGCTCGATAGTTTACTTTCAGTATAAACAAAACTCATACAATAGTTGCTGAAAATTCAAAAACAATTTCTATACTCACGATTCTTCCATCGTTTCGTTTGGAGTGCCCTGAAAAATAAAAAAAATACATTTGAACAAGCATCTATTCATCCATTTCTTGCAAAATCGCTTAGCGAAAGGTAGTTATTGTAATATAAGAGTGTGCTGCAACCCTCCTGGCCTATAATAATCAGCCTCATGGTTAACGCAGCGCACCCAATACCAATTAAAAATTGGTAACAACAAAAATACTGTTAAAAATCAAATCAAATTCCTGATATTGTTCTATTGCCAATTATAACGTTAACGAAATCCTTTGCAAATTTAAACTCTTTTGTGAGGCAGTAGGATTCCTTTATGTTGACATATTTTTCTGTAACATAAAGTAAAAATAAGTAGTCTTCAAAGAAATGTGATACAAAGCCTTCAGCACTACAAAAATTAAAAAGGCTATTATTTTGCAAATTAAAGCGTCCGTGCTCAATAATTATTTGATTGCAATCAAATCACATATCATTCTCATATTTTTAGAAACTTCCAAAGTTCAACAAATAATCTTTCTTTTTTTCCCGGAATATTCCATGTCTCATTCCAACAATCATAATAGAAAGCTTGGATTTTACCAATAACATTTCTTTTTATGCCTGAAAAAAAATTGCTAGAATATACATCGCTAAAAATCCTCATAATTTCTTTCACGAATTGAAATGGAAATTTTGCAGTTTTTTTGCATGCAAATCATATTTAGAAGTAATATTGTAGAGACATTACGTATTTTTTGGAAGCAGAAGAAGTGAAAAATGAGCAACGCTTTCCCCGGGAATTGAGCCATGGACCTCTCGAATACGCGCCCAGCATGCAGACCACTACACCACGAAAGCACGCCAAGAAGATGGGAGAAATACCTTATAATATTATTGCCGAAAATTCTGTGCATTAAAATGAGAGCTACTGCTTTTATAAAACAGATAATACCATGAGATATCAGAAGAGTAGATTTGATGAGTTAGGTAAAATAGTTTTTCCTCAGTTTATTTCGAATAAGGAAGGAAGCACCTTACACTGAATTCTATTAGTAGAAGAAATTATTATGTTTCACTCAGTTTGAGAGATACTAAAAATACCTCGTGATATTAATATGGTTCGTGCATGTGTTTAATATAAATTGTCTGCAACTGTCATGAGCATCTAAAGGCAACCGTTTGCCAGTAAAAGGAAAATGTGACTATATAAGACTGTTTGACCCCGTTTGCGGAGTAATTTTGGACTGCCCAAGTAGTAATAGTATCGTATATAAGAACAGATTTCACTAATGCTATATAATCATTGTAACTTGCAGCTGTTCCTGATTTTAATACGGCACCCGTACTTGTAGATTGTAGACAATGAAACATATTGATCATGTTTGAGACTTCTAAGGCTCAGTTTGTGTCTAGAAGAATTGTAATATGAGTTCACCCTTAACACCGAAACTGTATTATATAGTATTACAGAGAAATTCTAACTTTTCAATGGAATGCTCTAAAAACATCATGATTTCAATTTCAAGTACTTGGAACGGTTTAAACAGTTGTCGAAACACTCCTGATTATTGATATAGAATGATTGTTGGCTTTTTCGAAATGCTCCAGTGTGACTTAAATGTTTTTTAATGCCTGTGTGTTTTTGAAGGAAGACTATGCCATTTAATGATGCCATGTGATATCACTGTTCACACAAGTAGAAAACCTTATAACATGGAAATTCTTTAACACAATAGAATGATATTATGGCATCATTCTCAAGAAAAGATATCTGGATTTTACCCTACCAGGATGGGAAAGTGCAAATTGATAATTTTATTGATACTAACATGGTCTAGCACTGCTTAATAAGGCATGCTTTGTAGATTTTTGATCTCTGAGCCAGTACTGCTGGTCGCTGAAATGACCTTTATGTTGAAAGTCCTGGTTCAATCTTCCAAATATACAGAGTTCCAGAACTTTACTCAGAGCCAGAAAGCAAATTTGTGGGGCAATGTTAATTTGGACTATAGGGCGATTTATTTTTCTTTAAGAAAAGGACGATTTAACCAGTTTTAAGGAAGGTGTTAAATTCGAGGCATTTGTTGTAAAACTAGAATTATAACGAGATTGGTATGGCGGATAAGTTTAATGATTTGGTTGCAGAATCCTGGGTGAATGGTGGGTCTTTTTTGAGTCTGGAGGATGTTTATTTGTGGTAGGTATTCTCCGGTTCATCCGTGTCTTCATTTTCATTATCGTTTAGGAGTACCGCGCACAGAATTGGCTTCAGGGTGTTGTAGGTGGCATCAGTGTTACTGTTTTTGTTGGAGTTACTATTGTGTGAGAAAGTGCGAGGACAGTAATGCTGTGAGGCAAATTTTATCGCAGTAAGGTCAGCAGTCCTCTTCTGCAGCGTAAAAGCAAAAGCGTGCTGGAAATGAAGCTGAGTAGGTTTGAAGATTTTATTCATTACCATCTTGTGTAAAGGACCGTAGATATCTTTATATTCTTATAGTACGTATATCAGCTTAGGTTTCGCTTCTATAATTTGGCATTTATAAACAGCCTTTTGTTTTATGAGTTTTTGAAGGATGGTATTCCTTTCTTCGTCTGATTATGTGGATTTAAGTTTTTTGCGCAAGGTTTTGATTTTGTGTTTTTCTTTCTGTAGATCTTTTATCCACCAGTTTATATTGCTCACTACAGTCAGTGTTCTCTTCTTGAATGTTTGATCGCAGAGGATTTGTGTTCTTTCTAGTTTTATTTTGAATTCGGAGATTATGGTGTCTGTTGTCTATTGGTTCATGTCGAAAACAACATATTTATAATCATATTCGGTGTTATCGTCTCGAATTTGTTTGCTGTGGATTTTATTTGCTAGTTGGGGTGAGGTGATGAGGAGATCTGTCCAGTACTGGCTTCGTATGCTATTGAATGTTGGAGGGTCGGTTCGTTAATTATGAAGGATTAGATTTTTGGTGTTGATGAATTCTTCCAGTTACAAAACTCTTGGGTTTGTGTGCGAATAACCTCAAAGTTTACTGTGACAGTTAAAATCCCCATTGGTGCCTTAGAGCGATATTTAAGCTCTGAACCTGATGGTTGAGTAAATTGAGAGTCGAGGTGGGTTGAGGAGATGTATATGCTGGTGATCATTAGTTGTGATATTTCGGTTTTTATCGAAAGGGTGAATATTATCTCGTTTGACTTGTAGTAATAGGTGGGTTCCATCACGTGTCCAGCAAAGCAGCATGGCTCTTGTATACAGACGAAGTCTGCTATATTGTTCACTAGATGTTGAATTAATTGATCGGCTGTGGTTTTAGGTTTGTGGAAATTGATCTGTAGGCAGCTGATCGCAGTGCTGTCGCTGTTAGTGATTACTTATACTGTTGAGGGAATATTTACTTGTTTCTTGTTGTACCCTACTTTGGTTTAGAACATATATGCTGTTCTTGCTTTTATTTTCTGGATTTTTGCTTGGTAAGTGGAGAAAAAGATGAACGAGGCAGGGTGTGCGCAATTGAAGTTGGTTCTATATTTTTTGTTGTCTATTCAGCAAGTGATGCAATATGGAATGCATGCTGGGCAGCTAGAGACATCGTAGGTTCCTCCACAGAACTAGTAGGAGCTAAATTTACAGTTTACAGTCTTATGCGCAAAACCTTGACATTTGTAACATTTTCAGGCCCCTGTGAATTCTACGACGTTGTTTAGCCTTCAGTTTAGGGAAATATGTTTCTTGGTTATGCAGTTTTTAGAGGAGCCTAGATATTTAACGGCCCACTTTTTAGTATTGTTTGGAACGTTTAACTTGAAAAGCGGTTTCGTTTCTTCTGCTTTAGATTTCATTTGTTGTCTTGACTAATTCTTCTAATGGAGTGTTTTTGGTACATCATGGACTGTGCATTTTGGTATATAGGCTTGTGGGATTCGGATGTTGATAATATGTTGTTACTGCCTCTTTACTGTTGATTGAGTTGTTAATTTTGTAACAATCTTTCTGTCTGAAACATTGGATTGCTAAACCACCCTGTAATTTTGATATTCATTTCGATTTGTTGAAGAGAAATTAGCTCCTGGAAAACTCATCAATTTATCTTGAAATCCTTTTATTAGTCTGGCGTCTGGGTATAATGTAATCCCGTTATTTTCTTGGGATGTTGGCTACTTCTGTCTAAGTTTTGCAGGTTTTGAATTGGTTGATTAATTAATTAGTTGATGTTAGCATAAACTTCTTGTGTTCTTATTAACTGAAATCGTGCTACCTCTTGGTAAGTGGATGCAGCATCCGTCATTGCCATTATGGGAGTTAATGTTATTGATGTTGGCGAGGATTTGTACTTCATATTTGTCGGAGGGAAGTTATTCGTTGCTGGTGGTAAGGTTGTTAACAACGATGGTAGACGTCATCTAGTTTTCCGTAGAATCGCCATCCCTTGGGTGGTTATGGCGTAGTATGATGCATCTACTTTTGTAACTAATTCTTTGGAAAATAGCTTGATTTTTTGAAGGGAGCAAGTTGGCGTTATAGTGTTTATTTCCATTTGCAAATTAATCCTGGTACCTCGTGTTGTTGAGTAAGGGGATAGATCAGTTGATCGCAGAGTGTATGCTGCATAAATTGCTAATTTTCTCATTTCACTTGTGGTGTTTGCAGGAGTTTTTATTCTGTTAGTGAAAAAGGATATCTTCCTCCGCGTTTCATTATTGTTACATCTATACCTATATATTTCTTATGCATTTCTAAAATTCTTCTTTCTTTTCTTGTGTTACACTGAAAGTATGGTTCTTTCTTTCTATAAAGGCTAAACTTTCTTTTGATTGCGACGAAATTATAATTTGTGGAGAGTCTTCAGTAACCGAATATATGTTGCTTGTGATAGTATCAACAAGATTGGTTAGAGACATCATTTTGGCTTGAAGACGGTGGGCTGAGCAATACTAGTTGGTAGAGTGCATTTACAAAGCAGTGAATGGTATATTGAGTTAACACTGGACTTGGAATTATGAAGTGTAGGTACGGAAGCAGAATGAAGCTGAACAGGTGAAGGTTTACATACATACAAAGAAACTAAGCAGAAGGTTTGCAAGAATAAAAAATACATCTCGAATAGTCAAAACGCAGATTTTAAGCAAGGCATTATATACACTCACACATGATATTAAATATTAGCATAATGAAGGCATAAAAACTGCTTTGCTAAAAGAAAACTGAGCAAATACTGGCATGAAAAAATGAACTGTTTAAATGTAACGCTAATTGATGCTGTTTATTATGTTAACAAAGATAAAACAATTAAAAAGAAAAGCCGTTTAAAATACTAAAAAATTAGGACTTTAAGTGAGAACAATGGAAAGCAAGATTGCTAATTTAATGTTACAGAAATTCAAAAAAGTCCAGAAATTAGACTAATTTGTATACTAATTAATTAATTAATGGGGTATTGTGTAATAGATACAAAAGGTGTTAAACATGTGAGAAGAATAATAGGGGTGGAAAAGGGACGCTGCAACTTAAGGAGGCTGAGAAAACTGAGAAATTAAAATTGATTAATTAATTAATTAACTAATTAGAGGAGTAAATATTACATGTGAAAAGTTACATGTGAATGAGTGGAGGGAATGTTCATTAATTTAAAGTTGGTTTGAGAACGTTACTTTAATCAGAGAAGGAGAAAACTGAGACATAAAATGCAATAAAACGCGGTGAAAAGTTTATGGAAATTGTAGAAGGAGGACACTTGTCAAATAATAGGTATCAAGGTAAGAAGTGTCATGCAAAACAAATTAAGAAACTGGTGTCCGCCGATAACATCGCGGCAAAAACATCGCGGACGATAACGTCGCGGAGAAAACAACGCAAGGCAAAAACTTCGTGCTACAAAACATCGTGGGAGAAATCATCGCAAAGAGAAAACATCGCAGTCCTAAAACATCGTGGTACAAAACATCGTCGTCGAAAATAAAGCGGTTCAAAAACTTCGCAGTTTAAAAACATCGCCGTCGAAAATATCGTGGTAAAAAATAAAGTATCTACAAATCATCGCATGACGATAACATCGCAGACATGCTTTTTTCAGGCTTTAATAACTGTAAATGGATATTCCCATAATGATTAGTGAGCGCAAATGTAAAGGAAGGATAATTTTTACTTTCACATTTTTTATTAACTAATAAATTTTTGCTGAAAACGTAAGAAGGAAACTTAAGCATAGAAAATTAAAGGCAACTTAATAGATTATACTTTTCACAAAAAAATTACCTGTAAAAATCTTTAAAAAAATGATTTATTAATGGTCTTTGTTAGTTAACTATGTCGGTTTAAAATTCTATTAATGCTATAAGTTGCATTAATTTGCTATGCTTAAGTTTCTTCTTACTTTTTCTCAGCAAAAATTTAATATTTAATAAAAATGTGAAAGTAAAAATTATCCTTCTTTCCATTTTGCGCTCACAAATCATTATGGGAATATCCATTTACAGTTATTAACGCATGTTTGCGAAAAGCATGTATGAAAAAAGCATGTCTGCGATGTTATCGTCAAGCGATGATTTGTAGATACTTTATTTTTTACCACGATATTTTCGACGACGATGTTTTTAAATTGCGAAGTTTTTGAACCGCTTTATTTTCGACGACGATGTTTTGTACCACGATGTTTTAGAACTGCGATGTTTTCTCTTTGCGATGATTTCTTCCATGATGTTTTGTAGCACGACGTTTTCGCCTTGCGTTGTTTTCTCCGCGACGTTATCGTCCGCTATGTTTTTGCCGCGATGTTTTCGGCTGTAACCGAGAAACTATGTTAGGAGAAGCGGAATGGGGAGATAAAAAAGGAGGTTAATTAAAACAATCAAAAGATTAGTAGTTGAACAGGGCCTAAACTGGCTGAAATATGTAGAGATAAGATTTTTATTCCGTCAAATTTTTTAGAGGTACAATCGGTAATAATTCCTCTTTATTTCTATTGAAATGTCTATGAAAAGAGAAGAATCTAAGGTAGACATATGCGGAAATATAGCAGTGCTTATACCCATAGCATAGTCACACAATGAGAATATGCCTTGATTCTTTTGTAAGCCTTTTAAATATGTCAGAAACTTATATTTTATATAATTTAACAACTTTACTTCGAAACTAACATGGTATATAATCGAAACGAAATCAGTTTCTGAAAACAACTGCATCGAAATTTATTATAAAAATGCTTAAAATGAATATTAACCAAACACTTGTTTTTAAACATCCTTTCACTTGCAGATAAAAATATTAATGCAGTAAATATGAAGCTTTGCATCCTTTGCTACAAATTTTTTATAAATTAAAAAAAAACTTAATATCAGTAAATATGCTTACAAATTCTCTCTCATATCTTTCTTGAACTTCCAAATAGCGTTTCGTTTTTCTGAAATAAAGTAACATATGAACAAAATAATATAAAATATTTTCAGTCCATTTTTTCTCATAAAATATAGCTATAATCTGCATTTAAAATGTAGTACGTAAGAGCTCGAGTCATGCCACATTCTAGGATGTCGAATTATATGGATTGGAGCTTTCTAGGATATGTAAAATTAAATTTGTTTTACTTCATTTAGGTGTTTCAAAATTTTTATCAGTTTAATTTATATAAAAATTGAGTAATGTACAGATAATTTTTCTAAAAAGATTTTAATTTAAACCAATATATGAACAATGAAAAATTAGTTTACATAATTCAGCAGATATTTAGGCTGTAAATATTAATTTTCATTACTGATTTATAGAGATCTCTTTTATATGTATTCCACTTTACTAATGAAAATCACAGTTTGGAATTCCAGCTTTACCAAAAAAAGTAAACATTTGTAAATAGCTCAAAGAGAAACATTTAAGTTAAGAAAATTATCCTTTATACGCTAAGGTTACCGCAGATTACCAGAATTCACAAAATTACCTATCTATAAGGTAAAGTCTAAAATAGTAACACAATTCGTAACTGAAATATTCAGCTAACCGAATACACAGACTGCTCAAGTATAGTCATATTTTTAATATTTTAATAGTGTAATAATCCGAAGTGTTTAAAAATTTCCGGAAACTTTGAGAAAAAATCGTTTGAAATTAAAACATTCGTTTTCAAGGAATATCTAAAATATCACCAATTTGGTGAAAAATTATAAACAGTCGACAACCTGGAGCAAACCATTTCACAAAGACCGTGAAAATGTTTCGACGGGAGCTAACGAGAGTGTATTTCGACAAGACAAGAGATTTTCTTTCCTTATCTGAGGTTCTGAATTAACTTTTAATTCAAACTTCGGTCAATTCAGAATTCTAAGACATTTAAAATAGTGCCCGAAATAAATACTTGCAATCATAATAGCTGACCACAAGTTCAATTAAACGACAATATATAATAAAATTATTACACAAAAATACATGAAACATCAAATAAATAAATGAATAAAAACAATACAAAGCACCAAAAAAGGCATAAAATTAAAAAAAAAATAACATAATTATTTATGAAAATTTGCAGCAAGTAAAAAATAACCCTACATACATCTTTTGTTGTTCGGTTACTCCAAGAGTCATTGCTTATCCATAGCTGACACTTGTACTGACAAATGTACGACTATGTACCTTAGTTAACTGCTTTTAATTGCGTGATAAGTTAAAAGAGCTATTGAAAGTGTATTTCCGTAACCCTAGTAGCGCATGTCTTAACAAAGCGCCGCAGAGAAGTTGCAGTGCTGTTGCGATAAATTTGATAGTTTTTGACCGCGCAGCGAACTCCCGAAATATTCTCATCGCATCTTGTTAGTTATAGACTTTGATGCAACTTCGTGATACGTCCGTCCGTTTTTACACATGATCATCCTTACTCATAACTTTTCACCGTTACTTTTGGAATGAGAACGGAATGTTAACAATTCGGAGTGTGCACAAGATTAATTTTATAGCTTTTTATTATTTTATTTCATCTGAATATATCAATTTAAATATCGTGAACGCATCTAATAAAAATAAAAATTTTGAAATATTAAATTTAATTAGTATTTAAAAATACATTATAAATAAGAGTTTAAAACTTTGCTAGAATTATTCAATATTCAATTTTTATGAATAGCAAAGCGAAATGTTTAAAAATCGAAGTAATATACTGTATATAGAAAATACGATAACTTTTTCTAAAAACGTTGTCATATTTGTGTTGCAATTAAAGAAAAAGCCGGAATAAATTAACTACGCTTTAACAGAATCAAGAATTAGTAGAATGAGATTCATCCTGCATTTCAAAATGCACATTTCTAAAGAAAAGTAAAGTTTAAATTTAAAGGTTTTTGAAAAAATCCATAGAAAAAAACTTAGCTCAGTTTTTCATATATATTTTTATACAAAAGCATATACAATTAAAGAGAGGACAAAATGTAATACATACAAACAATTATCTTTACACTTCTCAATACATTTATAAAGTTTATCAAGCTCTTCCGGATCGAAATCAGCACTCATCATTTCCTCTGAAATAAGCAAAAATAATGTAACAATTTAATTCCAAAGGGCACGAAAATTAATACAAATAATTAACATAAATTCTAGCTGATGATTTTCAGACCCTTTTTAACTTCATTTCATTAGTGTGTTCATTCCTGATAAATAAATATTAGGTAATTGTAAGGATCACAATAAATGCTAATGAAAACCATCATAGTAAGATATCGTTACTTAAAGAGAAATGGAAATGAATAGATTTTCTGATAAGTAGGTAAGGTTTTCTGAATGATTTTCGCAAAATTAAAAATTTATTGGCACTCGCTATGCTTTAAAGGTAAGCGATCCTAAATAAAATTCAGCGCAAAATTCTGTAAATATGTGGATTAATGTAAGATGAGTGCTGGCAAAAGTGGCTAGAAAATATATTTTGTTTACCCCAGAGTTTCTTAAACTGTGGATCGCGACCCCAATTAAGGTCACGGGACCTGCAGTAGGGGGTCGCCAAAAATTTTAGCAGTACTTCTTACACTTATTACAATAATTTTACACTTACTTATTACAATAATTTTACACTTACTTATTACAATAATTTTACATTTACGGAATACTTTTACATAATGTATCTGAAAATAGATAAAGATAAGGCAATACAGACAAAGTAAAAACGGAAACATTTCGACGCATTTTTTTTATAATAGAAACGTTCATTTTACTTTAAAAATTAAAGTCAATGACCTAAAAATGCAATAGTATATTACAGTACGGAGTAAAGGAACTGATAGTTTCACTCACGTGTGTGTCCGATTTGCTCAATGCTAATGGGGTCCCCCAAAAGTTCCGTAAGTATTAGAGGGTCCCCACACCAAAACGTGTAAGGAACCCTAGTTTAGCTAATATCTTAAATACATTATGAAGTAATAAATACGTTCACCCTCATTAAATTCCTTAACAATCATCTGTGCAAAAGTCGGCAGTTAACAAGAGTGTATTAAATCTCTTTTCTTTATAGCGGCCCACCAGCGGAACACTGGTAGTTCGGTCCGAGGCTCGAATCCCACGAACGGGTTGGTTGCATGGGCGTTTTCGTAGTTTTCGCCATGTGTAACGTGTATATGAGCCAGTTTTCCTTAGAAAGTCCTCCACGAAGGCATCCCTCCCCATAGGCAGATAGCCCTAGTGTACTTTGCCATAATTAAATAAACCAAACCAAACCTTTATAGCGATCACCATTATAACGTCCGTTTTCTTAAGGATGCGAGGGTCCATTATAGCGATGGTCAAAACTAGCCTTTTTAAACTGTCTTGCAACAGATAAATAGCAAATGTGTCTTATGTAAGATTTTACTTACAAGAAATTCAAAATGATATTCTGAAAGCATATTTCTATAAAATGTTTATATCTTGGACTTTCAGTGTCACACCAGGCAATGAATTTCAGCGTTAAACAATCAATTCTTACTGTGATATAACGTAATGAAAATTAAAACTGAATACTTGTTAACAGAAGTATTGTACAGATACAATAATTTCATTGAAAAAAAATTTCAAATTACATACAATTGGAAACAGGCACACGCGCAATGATTTTTGTGCTTTTTACTTCCTTGTACGAAGTAAAAAAACTATTGTAATCGCGAAAAATTTAGAGTATCATATTTCGACGGAAATATCCCTTTTAATCATTCCCAAATCTATTTGGAAGATTTTTTTGCATAACATCTGTACGTATGGAATACCTTTTTTCTCCAAAAATGGAATTGTAAATTGGATTCGAAAGGGAATATTGCCATGATGTCTGTACTTACGTACGTACGTATTTTTCTCGCATAAATCAAAAGCGATTAGCCATAGAACGTTGAAATTGTATTCATGGGACTGTTATAATATCTAGTTGTTCAGTAGTATTAAAAGTTTGTCGGCCTTTATTTTTGTAATCGTTGGTGGTAGTCATATACCTCCAACAGCAGAAGTATTTTAAATGATGAATATATTCATGTGCTTGAAATGTGAAATTAAAAAATAATTTTCGGCAAATAGCAAAATCTAGCTTTTAATGCCTCTCCCGGTTCCTATAGTTACTTTTGGTAAAATTCTACAAAATAAAATTATAAGAAGTTTGAATCTCGTGTGACAAAAATTAACCATGATATTTAATTTAAAAATTTGCAATTTTTGATGTCACTTTCAACTTGCTTTGAGGGATACGTTTATTAAGTTAGAATATTTCGAGGAAATAAATTTAAATGAAGTGCAGCAAAAATGTGTATAACTTAATAAGCCGTATAAGAATGCCATTTCTTGGCCACATCAATTTTTTTATTATAAAGAAGATCTATAAATACGTTGCATTCACATATCAAGAAAAATGTGATCAGTGATAGTAATGGATTTTGTTAATCTTGCCTATTGTCTACAGTTACCGTAAAGGTTTTAAATTTAATTCTTTGCTAGAATTAAGACAGAAATTTTTTTTCTAAATACTTATATTTAATTATATTGTTATTTATATCTGTTTAATATTATGATAATTAATTTTAATATTAGATTTCGATAAATCTATATTCTGAATTTTATGAATGTAACGTTTCGCAAACACATGTAACGCAAGGGTTGATTTTTCATTTTCCTGGTTCTCATTTTCCTCATATTATGCATAACTATTCAACAATAAAAGTTTCGGCACTCTTTACTGTTGTAAATTGCTTAGAAGGTTTCAGAAAAAGCTGTTCAAGCGTTTTATTTCATCAAATATTAACTCTGGATTTGTGCTTCCGGTTATTTGTATTTAAAATCCAAGCAAAGAATTTTATGAAAGCAATTACAATAAAAAAGGATTAAAGTTCATTTAGTCAGCTAATTAGAGAAAGTTTTTTAAGATATTAATTTTTATGCTGTCTACTTAAATCAATATGTGTTAATAAGGCAAATATAAAATAATTTCATACCTTTACCTATACATGTCATATCTTTTAATGCATATGTTGTGAAGGTATTCGAGAATCAAATTTACTTATTTAGATAACTTTTTAGTGATTTTTACTAAGCGAATTTTATGAGAGTTTACTCAGATTGATTGTAAAAGTCTAAACAAAGTTATTCATTTTGATATTTAAAGATTCTGCACAGTTTGGTACCTGGTGGACTGAGCCCTTGTGTGACATCAGTACAAATTAATTTCCTTAGAAAGTTTTTCTCGAAAGCATTCCTCTTCACACAAATATATCTCACATGATTTATAATTAATTTATAAGGTATTTTCTCCCTCCTTCCAGCATGCCTTCGTGGTGTAACGGTAGCACACTCGGCACGTATTCGAGAGGTCTAAGTTCGAGTAGTACCGGTGAGGGCACTGCTCATTTTTTCACTACTCCAGTATAAAAAAAAAAACTCTAATGACTCTACAAATAGCGCTCGAACTAAAATGTGGTGGACAATAATTCGTCACTACCAGGATTTGGCAATGGACACCCAATCCCCAGGTACCCTTTAAAAGAGGGAGTATATAAGGTATTTTCTTCCCCTTTCCATCATGCCTTCGTGGTAAAACGGTAGTACATTCGGTGTGTATTCGAGAGGTCCAGGTTCGAGTCTTCACGAGAGTATTGATCATTTTTTCTCTACTCCTGCATCGAAAAACTTAATGAGTCTACAAATTAACCAGTCTGTTTTTTAGTATTTGTATCTTGAAATTTAAATTTTTATGATTAATATTCCTGCAACATATTGACGTGAAAATCCTTAAAATGATTACCTTCTCTTAATTTTAGTTAAAAATATTTTTCTGCTGACAGTATATTTTTACATTAAAGAACATCATATTTACATAAAAAGTGTTCTTATGTTATGGAATTTAGGAGCCACAGTATGTTTCAGAAGATGCAAGTCAAAATCTATTGCAATTATAGTTTAATGTTATTTAATTTCATTTAATACTGTTTAAATTGAACATTCGAAAATTTGAAATATTGTTCATTTATTCCAAATATAGTATTTTATTTATTTTTGAAACTTATGATAAGCCTTCTCCTAGCAAAAATCATGTGTATTAATTCTATAGCATAAGCATAACTAGTCTGCTAAAATATGTTGTCACTAGAATTGTATTTTAAAACTATTTTATTCATTTTGACTTCTCTGTTTGTTTGTTTAATCAACCCTTGAAATTAATTTTTGACCACCTTCTATGGTTCCTATTTCCTTGGAATGTTTCACATAGGTAGAATGATAGTACAATATTCATCAAGAGTTATTTTTAAGATCTGCAAATGTATTCATTTATTTAGCTTTGAATTATTTTCCTGTAGGTTTGTTTAGCAGTTCCATTTGCGAGCAGATCAAGAAACAATTTTCAAATGAAAAATTTTCTTAATTCCCTAAATAGTTTGTCAAACGTCACTGGATTTTAAAAAAATCAATTTTCAGTATAGTAGCTAGTTTTTTGTCTTTCGATGACCTCTGCTACACTGATTGAATGAAATAAATTTTCTACATTCAATGGCAATGATTTTCTCTATCATTTACAGGCTATAAAATATAAAACAAATGCTTAAAAACACTTCTTAATTTACATTGTTTTAGTTAAATGCAGTAAACGAGTAAAGATGAAATTTTAGTAATAATAATATTCTCTGTCATATGGGAAAAGTTCTTTTTTATAACTCAAATTTTTTACATATTTTATTACTAACAACTGAAGAATGTTAATAACATTACATTAAAATATACTATTATTTAATAATTAAGGTTTGAAAATTACATATGGAAAAGAGCAGAAAACAATCAGCATTCATAGCGACTTAATTCATAGCTTTCTCCACAAATTATTGTAGCCCATCAGCGGAGGAGCTGTAAAGGCATCGATCAGTCGTAGTTCGCTGGCTAGTTCGATTCGATTCCAGGCAAGTTCTGTTCGATTCGATTCCAGGCGAGCGGGCTGGTCGCATTGACGTTTCTCGCATGCAGATGATAACGAGGATATATGACAGGTTCCCTCAGAAAGCCCTCCAAGAAAGCATTCCTACCTTTAAGCTTATAGATCTATTATACTTTGCCATATTTAAAAAATCTGATGTGGTATACGTGACTTCCTTGTACGATCTGTTAAATTGCACACATTTTTTTATTTATTTATTTATTTAGTTTTTTTTTTTCTGCATTTCATTTAAACTTATTTCCTCGAATTTCACTAGAGATATACTTCTCCAATGAAACACCAAATATAGTCAAAAGCAATTGAAAAAGATAATTTTTTCAATTAAAATCAGAGTTTCTAGTCAGAAAAATGCAATTCGGCCAAAGGGAAGAAAGACAAAGCAGTTGGTGCTCGAAGTTCTAAAGTTCACTTTTGGCCCCATTAGTAAAGACACTGAATTTGGTGCACCAACTGACTTAACTCACTTTACTCTAAAAGTTTCAAATGCAAACAAATAACCGTCACGTTAAGCTTACAGTCACACACACGTTTAAAGTTTTGGTAAGTCTATGCATATTAACTAAAGGCATAAAACCTTAACCAGGATATAGGCAGAGCTCACCGAACCGAGTGAGAGGGTGGGTATATATATATATATATATATATATATATATATATATAGACAGATAGATAGATAGATATACACTGAATAGCAATATGCAAATATACAGATGGCAGTAGTATCGCGTAGAAAATATACAAATGCGAAGTGCTTTGGCAGGGCTTTTATTTCTGTTCAAGTTATTCATGTGAAGAGGCTTTGACGTGATTATGGCCGCACGACGAGAATTAACAGACTTTGAACGCGGAATGGTAGTTGGAGCTAGACGCATGGGTCATTCCATTTCGGATAATGAAGGAATTCAACATTCCGAGATCCACAGTGTCAAGAGTGTGCCGAGAGTATCTAATTTCAGGTATAACATCCCACCATGGACAGCGCAGTGGCCGACCACCTGCACTTAACGACCGAGACCAGCGACGTCTGCGTAGAGTTGTTAATGTTCACAGACAAGCAACACTGCGTCAAATAACTGCAGAAATCAGTGTGGGACGTACTAGCGACGTGTCCGATAGGACAGTGCGGCGAAATTTGTCTTCCTTGGGCTATGCCAGCAGAAGACCGATTCGAGTCCCTTTACTGACAGCAAGACATCGCCTGCAGCGACTCTCGTGGGCTCGTGAGCATATCGGTTTGTCCCTAAACGAATGGAAAACCGTAGCTTGGTCAGATGAGTCACGATTTCAGTTGGTAAGAGCTGATGGTAGGGTTCGAGTGTGGCGCAGGCCCCACGAAGCCATGGCCCCAAGTTGTCAACAAGGCACTGTTCAAGCTGGTGGTGGTTCCATAATGGTCTGGGCTGTTTTTACATGGCATGGACTCGGTCCTCTGGTGCAACTGAACCGATATCATTGACTGGAAATGGATACCTTCAGCTACTTGGAGATCATACAGCCATTCATGGACTTCAGGTACTCAAACAACGATGGGATTTTTATGGATGACAATGCGCTATGTCACCGGGCCACTATTGTTCGCGATTGATTAGAAGAACATTCTGGACAATTCCAGCGAATGATCTGTCCACCTAGATCGCCCCACATGAATCCCATCGAACATGTATGGGACATCATCGAGAGGTCAGTTCGTGCCCAAAACCCTGCACGGTCAACACTTTCACAATTATGGACGTCTATAGAGGCAGCACGGCTCAATATTCCTGCAGGGGACTTCCAACGACTTGTTGAGTCCATGCCACGTCGAGTTGCTGCACTTCGCCGGGCAAAAGGAGGACCGACAAAATATTAGGAGGTATCCCATGACTTTTGTCACTTCAGTGTAGATATACATTCTTTTAAGCATTTGACGCATTTTGCTTGAATGGAGGCATAAGGAAAGTTATGTTTTTCATATTTTTCATTAAATGTTTTCATCATTAATTAAACCTCTCAAGCAGTAGATTTTATTGATTCTCTTTTGGCATAAATTAAAGTTCACAAAAAGATAAATTATGGAGTAATTGAGCCAGTCCTTGCATTAGGTTATATATAATTCGACTAAACAATTTATTTTTCAAGTATGAATAACAAATTGATTCATTAATTTTTGTTTTAGAATTTTCCTATTTGTTTTAATTTGTGTGTAATTAGTTTGCTTTTGCCTATATTTAGGTAGGTTTTTGTACTATTTTTAAACATTCGTATATAATTTCTATTTTTGTTTACTTTGAGTACGAATGCATGTAGGGAAAAGATCTGAATATTTGAGACCGATTAGAAATTTGTTTTAAAATGAAGGTTTAGTATGAAAACCGGTTTTAAGTCTCAAATGATTCAGAGGAATGAAACATGTATTCAGAACTCATTAATCAACTTGGTTTAAGTCTTAAAAATACTTTTCCCTTGAAAAGTTCTGTTTAAAGCGTTAAACAGAACAGAAGATTAATAAAAAATATTTTGGTATTTTTATTATGTATCATGTTTTGTAATTCTTTAAAAAAAATTCATTTTTCATTTTAAATTTCATTTAATGATTCCGTTTTTGAAAGTTTTCTTCATTTTCGTTTATTCAGTTTAGTAACTTTTACCCGGCGAGAAAATGTTAGACTTTCATATTTCTGGAACATAATTTTATTAATTTTCGTTCCGAACTTTACTTTTGATTATACATATATATGTTTTGTGTGGCCCATTTCAGTAAAAAAATGGAAATGTACAACTAGATATTATAGCAGTCCCATAGTATACAAAATTTCAAGGTTCTACGGCTACTCATTTTTGAGTGAGATACATACATACATATGTACGTACAAACGTCACAAAAATGTCCCTTCTGAATCCATTTTAAATCCATCCTATTGGGAAAAAAGTGTCCTTTATTTTGTCCATATGTAGAGATGTCACTCAAACACATCGTTCAAATGGATTCGAGAGCCGTCAAAATGCCTATTTTTTGCTGAAACATGATATACAAAATTTTTCACGATTATAGTACTTTCTTTACTCCGTTCAATGAAATAAAAATAAACCAAACCAAATGTTACAAATTATTATTTCAGAAACCATAAAGGCCATGCTCAGAAATGTAAAGGTAATTTTTCCACATATCATTCAAAATGTCACTCATATTATTTAGCATCCAAATGTCGTTTGAATATAAATTCTAATTTGATCTTAGGTTTTCGGAGTGGTGCTGTTTTCTGAAATGTGTACGGATGATGCAGTAATTACTAGTTAAGCAAGTTATATCGAAACGTCTCTGAGAGTTGATTTTGTCTGAGAGCAGGCAGCATAAAATCATTTGTAGCCAATTTTCTTATTTGTTATTAGAGACGCTGTTCATTATTCGAGATCTTTCTTGTTCACAAAATGTGTTTCGTAATCCAGAAGCACTCGTAACTGAACGTTTCAAAGTAATTGCTAACTTCTTTACAAATTTTGGGTATAATGGTTTAGAACTTTTTTTATTCAATTTATTAAAACGTAAAGCATATTTTATAAATTTGGAAATCTGATCTACAAGAACTTGATAAAATGTGAAATTTGAAATTGGCAGGAAAGAGTTTTCATAAAGTTGTGTACTTTATTTTGAGAAACCTCAAAGTTGAAAATACATGTTCAGTAACAGTTTGAAAAAATGTAGAGACATTAGGTTAATTGGAAAAGCCGGAGAGATGAACCACCGAACCACGGACCTCTGGAATACCGGCCCAGCATGCAGACCACTACACCACGAAGGCACGCTAGGGAATACCTTATATACTCCCCCTTTTTAAAGAGCGATTGGGATTTTAGGGCGACTGGGAAGCTAAAATGTTCAAGTACAGTCTGTATTTTAACATAAAGTGTACGCATAATTTTAAAGAATTCAATTTTTTTCATTTAATGCAGATTTTAAATTAATTTCAATTAAAAGCTTTTTATCTTAAAAAAAGTTTTCTCGATATTGTTCTGATTCTCATGCAAAGGATTCTAAATTTTCGAAATTCGAAAAATTCGAGATATTAAACAAAGTTTTATTATTGAAATTCGAGAAAAACTAAGGATTTTTTTACCTTTAATACCAACGATATTGTCAGAAAATTAGACTGTACATTTGATGAAATTTTAAAATGTAACTTTCTGGCAATTTTTATGCAAATAAAAATAGAAAACATATTTTCAGTAATGCCATCACATTTACTTACCATCAGAACATATTCTTGTTTCTGTCGGGTAAAGAATGAAGCTCATCGTGCAGTTTAATTCCTTCAAGGAAAATTCAAAAAAACATTTCTGCACGCACATCTAAAAAACGGAATACATAAGTTTTCTGAACAGGAAATTTTACTTTAAAAACAGAAAAATTTCCTTTAAAAATTTATGGAAAATAGCCCTGTTTTGCTGAATTACACAGAGGGCTATCATAGAAGACTGGAAAAGGAATCATTAAACAAATTTATTACAAATTTTAAAATAATATTCTATCACGCCCCCATTCTACTTTCTTTAAAAATTACATGTGAAAAATAATTGTATAAAGAAAAACCACAACTTGGGATCACAGACAACTCGGTTATATTCCGTTTTGCCAAACCATAAGAAATTCTTCCCCGCAGGAAGTTAATTTGCAACTAAAACAAAATAATAGGGGGACCGGAAAGTAATGTCGTTTCGGCGCATGTCGACAACAACATGCTAAGGGCAGAAGTGGAAGCAAATCCATGTCAAACACTCTTAACCAACCTTGGTCGACCATCCAAGAACATTTAAAGCAGAATGGAAAAATAAGCAAAGCAGGGGTTTGAGTCCCCCATAATCTGTCCGAAAAGAACAAAGCCAACCTATCCATCACATGCAACGTATTGCTTCAACGGCACCATACAGAACTGTTTTTTGATCGTTTGATTAGTGAAGACAAAAACATAAGTCCTATATGATAATCCAAAACTCAAAAGGCGGTTTTAATAGGGGGTTACAAAGGGCTTACATCTCGAAAAGGCGCTTCTGGGTGTTTGATGGAGTATTGGCAGAATTGTTCATTTTGAATTGCTGAAACCTGGAAAAACTGTTAATGTAGACCTTTATTGTAAACAATTGGATCTAGTGAACCAATCTTTAATCGAAAACTATCTGGCGATTGTCGCGGAAAAGGCATCATTCTGCAACACGACAATGCGAGACCGCATTGTGCAAGACGAACAATGAAAAAATATAAGGAATTGGGATGGAAGGTACTGAATCGCCCACCATATTCGCCCGATATCGCACCCTCGGAATTCCATTTATTCCGATTCCTACAACATTTTCTTAGTAACAAAAAATTTGAAAATTTGGATGATGTCCAAAATGCCATCTCGAGATATTTTACTCAAAAACCAATTGATTTCTATCGGTCTGGGATTGAAATCGGCATACTAGATGGCGAAAGGTTGCTGATAACGAAGGTGATTATACTATTGACTAAAAAAACTTGTTACAAATTTATTCGTTTGAATTTAATGTAAGAAAGCGGCATCACTTTCCGGTACCCCTATTAATAGTTAATATTCTGTTAAGGGAACACGGTATCTTTTAAAAAATGTTTTAAGAACTTTGATCTACTTTTTATGAATATTATTAAATGGTTTTGTAAGAGAAAATGAATTTAAGCTGAAAAAACATTTTGGTCAGTATTGTTTATTTATTTAAAATTTTCTGAAGAAAAATTTAACAATTAAAATGATTTTCTTCTCCTACAATTTTCAATGTTTTTCCCTCAAATTTTTATTGTATTTATTAGAGTGTTTTTAATAACTCGATTTTGCAATTGAATTAGTGTCTGAGAAGAAAATAAAAGTATATTTTTGTGTAAAATTTTGAAAAAATATGATCTCACTCACATTTTCACTTCCAATAATTTTTCTTTTCGGTGTTTTGCAAAACCCATCTTTTTTCGATTAAGTATATAATTTTAAACAAGCAGTAAAAATATTAAATAATTTAGTTCAAATCTACATAAGTTTTAAGACTTATACAGATATGATCTAACAATACAGAATTTATGAATGAACTTATACAGGATTATCGAGAAAATACAAACTGAGAAAACGCAGATTAAAGAATTCATTACGGCTATTAAATCATTTTAAATTTCTTAAAAATTTTATTGCTGAATTTCAATATATATATATATGTGTGTGATAAAAACAAATTTGGAAGTAATGACGAGCAGAATTTTGATGGCGTAGAAGAGTTGATCCATAATGAATAGGAAAATGAAGGCGAAGGCAGACTAAATCTTTCTTTTTTATTTCACCAAATATGTTGTGGCCACAAACAAGTTGGCACATTTATTGTGCCTATTCCAAAAAGTTTTACATTTCAAATAAATTTGTAGCAAGAAAGAAGCAGCAGACAAACGGCAGTCCAGCTAGGCCAAAGAGTTGAAGGCAAGTGCGTAATGTTCAGGGAAAAATCTTAAATCAGACTTAGTTAGTTTTGGTTCTCAATGCATTTTGATTGGATAGTTAATATTCCTGTACAATTACTATTGGCTGCTTAAGTTTTAGTTCCATTTACATCACCAGAATTATGTATAGTCATATGACGTGTGTTGTGACCACCGTTAGGTAGCGCTGAAGCGCATAACTAGACTTTGTACTTTTTGGCAACCTTATAGTTGCGCTCTATTCTAAAGAATTGTAGCAAGAACCGACTGAGTCGGTAACAATGATTTGAAATCTCGTTTGAGAGTAATTTAGAACTTAAAATTTTGTAAATAAATTTTGTATATCGTTTTAGTTTGTGTGCTGATGATGTTCACATATTGAAGTGACTTTATTGAACCGTATTTTGCACGGTAAAATTATGACTAACCTGCATTTGAAGCGGATTATTATGGGTCCTACGCGACAGGACTGAAAAAATTTAGCAAGTAAGCGCATGCTTATTTATAACTTGATTTATTTTGATATAGTTTAAAGTAATGAAAAATCTTGAAAAATTGAAGCGGAAATTCGCAGTTTTGCGTACCGCTACTGCAAAACTGTTAACAAAAATTGAAGAAATTTTAATGAAAATGTCGGAATGAACAAAACATTGATCAGTTAAATGTTCTCAAAGACCAGCTAATTGAAAAGTATTATGGTCTTAAGCAACTTAAATCTGAAATCGAAAATCGTTTAACCCTTGAAGATATTGAATCCGAAATTGAAGTTGTTGAGGATTGCAATGGAAAAATTATTGAATGGAAAAATAGAATTACTCGGTATTTAGATAAAAATTTGAACTCTAACCCTCAAATTAATTCTCATGATTCTAGTGTTTGAAGTACTAAAATTAGTGTTCCTAGTAATAATACTGGACCTAATTTTATGAAGCTTCCAAAGCTTACAATAGAAAAATATTATAGTGATTCTTGCTTATGGCTTGAGTTTTGGAGCCAGTTTTCAAATGCTATAGATAGTAATGAGCATTTGACCCCAGTTGATAAATTTTGCTATTTAAAATAACTGCTAGGAGGAAGTGCAGCTAATGCTGTATCTGGGTTTTCATTAACTAATGAAAATTATAGCTCTGCTATCGTCCTTTTGAAAGAACGGTTTGGTAGAGCCGATATCGTTATTAACGCCCATATGAATAAGCTTTTAAATTTGAATCCGGTAAAACATTCTTCTAACTTAAGAGCTTGAGGGATCTCTATGACAACTGTGAGATTCAGATTCGTAATTTAAACTCTTTAAGGGTTGCATCTAGAAGTTATGGTCATTTATTGCGCCCAATTTTACTTAAACTGATTCCGTCAGATACTGCTTTGGAATTTAATAGAAAACGCGCCAAAAGTTCGGACTGGGACATTAATGAACTAATATCCTTTATTAAAGAAGTAGAATCACGTGAAGTTACGATGCATTTGAATAGTTCCGTAAAGATATCTCATGAAAAACCAGAAAAATATAGAAACCAAAATTTTAAGCGTAATATTCCTTCAGCATCTGCTTTGTCAACTAGTGTTAAGAATAACTGTTTCTTTTGCAGCAGTTCAGAACATAATACTAATATATATGTGAATCACTTTCGATTCCTGAGAAGCGTAAAAAACTAAAGAACGAAGGGAGGTGTTTTGTATGTTTTAGAAAATTCCATATTGCTGCAAAGTGTAAATTCTAAATGAGCATTGTAAAATATGTGGTAGTAAGTTTCATAATGTTTCGATATGCATGAAACCAAAAGAAAGACCCCCCTGAAGTTCCTAAAAACGAAAGTGATGGCATAGTAATTTCCGTTTCTCAATGTGAGATTAAAAACTCAGATTCATTTAATGAAGTGGTATTGCAAACATGTTGCGTAAAAATATCATCCGATTTAAAGTCAAAAATTGCTTTATGTCTTTTTGACAGTGGTAGTCAACGGACATTTATTACAAAAGAATTAATATCGTATTAAAAAAAACCCCAGTTGTAAGAAAGGAAAAATTGCTAGTATACTCTTTCGGCGCGCTTGAAGCTAAGCAAAAAATTTATGACATCGTCAAGGTTGCATTACATTACAGAACGTGAAAATTCCCGAGCGAAATATATGCATTGAGGCGTTGGTTACAGATACAATTTCTCCTGCGATGATTTATCCACCTAAACAAAACATAGATGTCGAAAGCAAATTAAAGAAATACGAGCTGTCTAATTAGAATACGTTATGTGGCTCTCCTATACATTTATTGATAGGCGACGATTATCTCTGCCAAAAAAAACATTCCAGGCGCAGTAGAAAAAATAACAAAGTCGCTTTTCGTATGTGAAAGCTTATTTGGATGATCGCTTTGTAGTTCCGTTACTAATGATGAAAAGCGAAAAAATAAAAATGCGTCCGTTTTCAAGTTAGCTGTTGCGAATGGAGAAGAGGAAGATTTAAAGAAATTATGGGACCTTGAAGCAATTGGTATTAGTGATGAGGAATTTTCGAAAATAGATAAAGAAATTATTAATAAATTTGAAAACGATTTAAAATTCGTTAATAACAGATATGAAACGAAATTATTGTAGAAGGACAGTAAGGAAGGGTTAGGGACTAATTTCAAAATAGCAAAGAATCGTTTTTTCGAATTAAATCGTAAGCTCGCCAAAAATGACGATCTTCTCCAACAATATGTTGTTACTGAATAAAAGGGAAATAAGGTAGTTGAAGAATGGTCAGATAATGACGTTTAGAACGGTTATTTTATGTCGCATAGACCCGTTAGGAGGGATAACTCAGTGCCATAAGTTGCACGTTGTACGGGAGCACTGGGAAAAGTGTTTAACTTAGACAGGTATCTCAAACGCGCACTTCCTCGTGAAACGTATACCTGTAAAAGGAATAAATCTGAATTACTAGCTGTCTGCGTGCTATGTGGACTAAACGACGTTTCTCCTTATAAACGGTGCATCCGAAGAAGCACAAAAAACATAATTTCGAAGATGCCACTAAGCAAAAAGAAAAAAAATCCTGTTTTGAAAGATAATGACAATGATTTCCCCTCTCTCCCGAGATCAAAGAATAAAGAAACTCCTCAGAATATTGCCTGGTGGAAAGCTGAAAGAAAGGGTGATGATCTTTCTTTTTTCGAATGGTTTAAAAACATCTTATTCAAAACGAAAGAACTCCTACGGAAATTTAATGATTCTAAATCATTAATGCAGAAGATAGAAGTCGGCATGAATGCACTTGATTATTTTGTCTTACTAAACTTTGATTTTAAATACAATCTGCATTTGAAGCAATTTTGAATTTGCTTATGTACAGTCTACATTTAATTTTACTATTTCACAGATGCTTAACTTACATTTCCTCGTTTCACTCTTCGAAGTCCCGACAGCCTAGAGGATAAGTAACTGAATTACGATTTCTTATTTCACAGAATCGGGTTCCGAACACGTTACTTAATTTAATCAAGACTTTATTCAGTTTCAATTTGTTACTTCTTCATCTTATATTATTTCTTTATTTTTTCCTTCATGTATAGTACTTGTATTTTCTAGCACGGTATCATAAACTTTCCTGATAACTGCTGCAATTCTGAACATTCCATCGTCCCATAGTTGATGACACTTTTGCTGAATTTTGAACTGCTTATAATTGCTTTTCCTTATGTGATTTCTTCATTGTATAAACACATGTCCTTGTCTTTGACGAATAGTGCGATTCAATTTCACCTTTCACACTAAAAACGGCCTAGAGGCATACATTGATTTACTAATCAAAACTTCCAAGAAGCTGATGATAGCAACAAGAACATTCCAAGTTACCAGGTTGAACCAACAGTCGCTACACTCTGCTACTTAGAGAATCCAGAATTTCGTTAGACTTCCAGTGGACACAAGTGAATAAAGAGATGCCTGAACGAAGGCACCGTAGACAGCTCTGGCAAACGGAAAGCTTTACGAAGTGTCAAATTCCAGGCTTACGTACAGTTGGTTGGTCTTCGCGTCGTTTCACTGCTGAAGCGCATATAAATATTTGCATAAAATTCGGTGTATATGGATCGACGAAGAAAATGTACATAGACTCAAAAGGCCAAGTCCATTTAGATATACTACAGAACCCACAAATGAACGCATACGAAGAAAAGCGGTAACAGCCCTACAGTCGATTACTGTGGACATTTAGCCTAATGTATAGGGAATTTTGAATGCTCTAATATCTGGAAGAACAGTTTCTCGACGTTTGGCTGGAAGCTCCTTGCACACAAGCCACACTTTGCTAAGACTGCCATTAACGCCCAACCATCGACATGAAAGACTGCGATGATTTTGTTAGCGAGATACTTGGACATCATAATGGCTCAACTGTTCATTCAGCAATGAGCCTCAGTTTTGCTTGTCTAATAATAGTCGCTAGGTGAGTCTAGAGGCGTCGAGGACACAAAGCCAGTCCGACTACTATTGCGGAACGTCACCGTGCTCGTCACCATGGCATAATATTTTGGGGTGCCATCAGTCATAATAGCAGATAATTAGAGGCACATGCACGGCACGACGATACGTTTATGAAGAACTGCAGTCGGATGTGCTATCTTACCGTCAGTGGTTGCAAAATAGTTTCTTCCAGTAGAATCAGCGCACATGGCATTCGTTAGCCGACAAGCCTTGCAGCATGTTCTATTGTTTTCTTGGCCTACGATGTTCTCTGATCTTTCGACGTACGAGCATATCTGAGAGGTGATTGGTCAGTGTTTATCTGCTCTGCTGTAGCCGTTATCGAAGGACGAACTTTGGAAGAGGGTTCAGAGTATATAGGCTTCCATCCCTCTGGACACTGTGCGCATACATATTCAATCTGTACTTCTTAGGGTTTCAGCTTTTGTCTTCTCGAGAGGTGATCATATATCTTACTGATTCCCTGTGTATTTCAGCACATTATAAATTTATCTTTTTTATAAATAATATCACTTATTTAAGTATGCATACTCTGCCTGTGTATTAACTGACATCATATTCCGCCCAATCGTTTTTGGTTCTGTATTTTCTATGTCGGGCAGTGTATATATCTGAAAATTTACGAAAAGGTAGTAAAGTTAAATTTGGAACTATGAATTTTAGGAAGTTTTAATATACTAATGGCCAGTCGTAGGAAAAATATAAGAATTAATTTTGTTCCACACTTTATAAAATTAGTCAAATATGTTGACGAATTGACAAACATACAAATTATTTATCATAAACCAATTAACCAAATGGTAAAGGCGTGGTGCCCGTCTTCCCCGTTCCTAAATCCTAAATCTTAAGTTATTTATCAAGAGAAATTGTATAAGATTCTGATATTAATCCTATTGAACATGCTTGGAGTACTCCTAGGAGAACTATTTCAATACGCCAACTTCCAGCCAGAACCATTCAGGAGTTAAAAACTGTTTTGGTGGAGAAGTGGAAGCGACTTCCGCTGGCACTCTTGAACTATTTTGTTAATAGCATGGTTACAGTTTGTGCATGCTGTCTGTCTGAGGCGACTACACATCCTACTAGCCATAATTTCACTGCCATCTTTCAACCTCAAGTTTGGAGAACATTGGACTCTTGGCCATAACTCATGCTAATGAGTGGCATTTTCATTGTTGTTTGTACACATTATTGTCCCACAATAAGCTATATCCATACGTAATTTCATTTATTTCTATCCAGTATTTCTCGAAATATTTAGGAAAAAGTGTTCCATCTCTTAATTTTGTCCACCAGTGTGTTTATCAAGAAAAATTTTAAAGGGCATTTTATTTCCAAACACAGTGATAAAAACAGTTTAGACAGTTAAAACTATCCCAGTGTTATCTGTACAATTAGATAACTAAACTGAGGAAGAAAATATGCAGTCTGAATGAAATAATGCATGATATTTTGTGCAGAACACTATAGTCTGCATTGATCTACAGTAAAATCAACAACTGTATAATTCGTTCATCAGTCGTCATCAGTCTATAAGAGGGTTTCTTTCTTTCTACAGATTTATTATACATATTAAGTCAGTAAGACAATGAAAAGAAAGAGGGTGTTTGAAGATTTTAGAGAAAATGAAGCAACATTTTTTCGGGATTTCTGCTTTACGAAAGGACAGTGAGAGGAAACCGAAATATAAACCATGAACCAAATAATTCAGAAAAACGTACCCAGCTGTTGTACTTACTAATACTTAGACATATTAATATAGTATATTAGATTAGTTTCAGCTAATCTGATGAAGAGAAATTCAAAAATATAGCTTTGATAAAAGTTCTAGAAAAATTCTGATAAGCAGTTTTGAATAATACATTGCAGTAAATAGCGGAGATGAAGCGTAAAGTTATTCTGGTGACTTAAGTCTTTAAAATAACAAGAATAAACGTTTGAGACTTTTATTTTTGAGTTGTGATTTAAAACCATTCGATAATAATCTTCCGGGTGAACAAACCAGACATCCACACTTTTTAAGTCATGAAATGCCCTGGAATTTTTTTCCGAAATAATTTTTATAGTCTAAGGATTATGAATAAAAAACGTTAGTTTTCTGTAATAAATTGTTAAACAGAACTCATTATGTGTTCAATCCATGTTCAAGCACATGCTTTATAGCAATTTTACCGCACTTAAAAAATATCAATCAAAATCTAATTCTGATAATGAAGTAGAATTATTTCATCTTCTTCTAAGCACCTAGAGATGTGTTTTCCAAGGAAAAGAATCAAGGTCTGCCTTACCTAAAGAACGTATGCTGTCAATTATAATTAAAAAACAGTAATTTCGCAGAGCTGTTAAAACAACTAAACTACTCTAAAACAATGTTAATTGTTTTAGCTAGATAAATCTACTGATTCACATTTAAAATTATTTTCTTTTACTTTCCATGTTTATAAATTAAAGATTTGTTATTTTAGCTATTTAGCTATGCTATGCTTCTTCTCAAACAATCTTAAACAGCAAGCAAATTTTGGAACATGAACTGTTAATTGTAAATTCTCCACCTTATTACTCCAGCTTTGATCATTAGAATTTTTAGCCCAAAGAGGCAGTAGTCCAAAAGAACTATGAGTGTCAAAATGACATTTTGCTGCGTTTCACTAAAAACGGCGAATCACTTTTTAAATTGTTGCCTTAAATATTATCGCCCTGTATTATGTTTAAAGAAATTAAATAATGAAAAATCTTCATGAATCTATCGTATGTTTCTCGCATTGTGATAACACGATGGTACACGATGGAGCCATTATTTTGAATAACGTAATCCTCAACCCCAACATGGGCACCTGATAGCCCGAATTTTTAATTTGAGATTTGTTTTAATATCTAGTTAAAATTTTGTAAAACTTTAACGAATTTTTGATTAACAAACTCAACGATTTCAAAGTGAGCAATGACAACATTGTATAGAAAAAACTTTTGCATCTTCAATGCGAGACACTGTCTGTCGGAAATTCTAAAGATATGCTGTTTTTAAATATTTTGTGATATTGCTGTTGAATTGAATTTTATGTGGTTGGAGTGCGAAGAAAACTTTCTTAAAAAGCACACTATAGAAAGTTAAAAAATAATTGTTACCGCTAAGAATTAAAGGATAATTAAAAATCAGAATTTTCTTCAAGATTTATTACACAAAAGGAATGCAAGAGACAGAAAAGAACATAGGTTAAAAAACAATTTATTACGCTATTTTTCACTTCTCTGTAAATAAAACTTATCATTGTCGGCTAGATACATTAGAAGTAATAAATATATTCTACTAAAATTCTTTAATTATATCCTACCTTCTTCGACCTTGGACCAATCCTGTTGTTTTCAAGCCAGTCTTCAGTGTAATTTGTGCAGTTCGTTTTATATGGTAATGGCAATAAGATTTCTCGTTCCTGAGAAAAATGACAAAAATTAATTACTAACAGTGAATTTTTTATTCAGAAAAAAATGATAAGCATATAAGTATGCAATATATTTTACAAATATTCCTATTGAAACATATTCCGGAAAGAAGCAGTACGCTATGTTTTAGGGTGATAAGATTTCGTTATGTTAATGAACGTCACTCTTCAAGCAACAAAGACGACTCATTTTTCGTTTGTGAAACACCAAAAGCAACTGTTAAATGCAGTACAAAAACAAAAAAACACAGAACGACGAAGATTTACTTTCTTTTCCGAACGTCAACACACACATACACACTCTCTCTCTTTCAAACTAGAATTCCTCTCACAGTTTAAATTCCTCCCATTCTGCTTTGTAGACTTGAAGCCTCGCCTTATTTGATGGAGGAGAACAAATGAATTATCATGATACCAGTCTGGCTTGAAGCCATGTCCTGGCCTGTCAAAGCTTTAACGACTACAATGACTTAAAAGCTACAGCACTTGCAGTCAAATGATTTTTATAAATATACCGTTATACCTAAAACTTCCACCTTGTTACAGATACCAGAATGAATTTTGGTTTACCAAAATCAAAACGTCAAATGCCGGAGATGTTAATTTTTATACTTATAGCAGAAATAACCAAACTTCATATCAGTACGAGTCACATTTTTAATTTTTGTTATTTTATAAGGATTTTGAACTTTAAACTATTGTGATTGCTTAAAAATAAAAACAAGTAAGTCTTGCTACTGTTGCTCTATATTCAGGAAAGTATATTATTAAACTTTTAAGTAGTAAGCTAAGCATTTTTTGCATTTTTTATGGTTTTTAGCGCTCTTTCTATTTAAATTGTGAATGGATGTTAACAGAAATAAATTGAAACGGAAGAAGCTGTAGTAGCATTTTTTTAAAAAAAGGTAAAAGCCATTTTGCCAGAATAAAGAAGACTATAGTAATTTAAAAAACTAAAACTGCGATTTCTGCTCTCAGTTCTCATTCACTCTGCTCGCATTCGTTCGCTCTCAATTCCTATGAATGCAAATGCCCATTCGCGTTCATTTGGAAAGCATAAGATGGAACAGAATGCTGCAAAATTTGCACTTCCAGAATCAAACATAAAATAAGCAGCCTTCTTACCAGAGATATTTACGCAAGGATAAACACAAGTCTACCAAAATGCATTACAGGATACGTTTCCTTTTAATTTTATTCATTTATGGATTTCATTTATTCCACATGCAAGTTTCAAATATATACATAATATGACAGAATTGGTGGTCTCAAAATTTAAGGGGATATAGAATATGCCGAAAGTAACGAATTTGTATCATAATATGTTGTAGAATATGAAACATTAACGCGGAAAACAGTGCATAAAACATAGAGAAAGGAAGACTCTTTAATCATGGATATTTAAAAGAAAATTTGCTTGATATTGTAAAAGAATTTTATGAAATCACCAACCTCAGTATGTGCCAACCGCATCATCAAGCTCAATATATATTGGATTGGCGTTTTAAGTCAAAATTTTGTGAGCAAAATAAAATATTTTGACAGTGCGTTTTACAATATTCGATAGCGAATCATGTTCTCTACAAAATAGTGTGTTTAGTTTACAGGAAGCATGCACTATAGTTCTTCTAAGTCTATAGTGTATGCTTACTTAGGGAGCATACACTATAGACTTAAAAGGACTATTGAAGAATTATCTTCCAGACTTGTGAAACAAAACAAAAGCCAGAAGTAGGATGTATAAAACCCTTTTTATTAGAATACAAACTTAACAATTTACACAGCTTGGCTTCACACAAGCCAAGCACTTCTGGCTTAACAGAAATACGTAAAGATGAACAAATTCAAACTTTGGTAGATTATCCTACCGGCTCACGGGATAATTTAACGCGCAATCAAGCTCTGGTTTGTAGAAAACCAGTGATTCAACACCACTAAATCAAGTCGTTCAGAGTCACACGGCACAACATGGCCTAGAATAGGCAGACACGCTCTAAACCTAACTTCCAAAACTCATGCTTAAATAGCACATCTTTCTACCTTAATCTGAATAAACGCTCGCTGTCTCATTTAAGCATCATTGAAAAGCGTGGATGAAAAGAGAGTATTAGGAAAGTGCTAACTTAAAATTAACTATTAGTTAAAAATAAATAGATAAACCTCACAAGTGCTGAGATAGTTTCTATTTTTTCATGTCATTAAAATGTAGTGTTAAATAGACAAAAAAGAGCATTATCGACACCTTCTGCTTTTTGCGTTTAATCGAAATGTCAGAAGCCACAGAATTTGCTCGACAGATTTATGAAGTATATGGCAAAGAAGTGATGCCTCTTAGAACGGTTCAGATTTAGTTTAAACTGTTCAAAGACAGGGATTTCTGCCGTCGAAACATTGAACAGCTTGTTGAACGTTGGGAAGAACTACCAACAAGTATATATTATTCATTGATTTGCTATTTATTTTTGTGGAAAGCCAAATTAAAAAGAGTCAGAACTTATCGGCCAACCTAGTACATCAAAATAACGTGAGTGATTGGGGTGCACTTTGGAAAATGCCCGGCATGACACCTACAAGGTACGCCAGAAAAATTTATACACACTTTGAACTGTCACATAAAATTTATTATCATACCTACAAGGTTAAGTTTATAAAAGAAAGTAATGTTATGTTTCCTCAATATCTGACAGCAGCCTCAACGATCATGCTGCGCAACCAGTTAATGCCAAGAGGATAACATTAACATAGCGGGTTTGTTATGACATATCTTATGGCATATGTTTGAACTTCCAAGAGCGGAACCAGGTTATCATATGGTACTATGGTGTAATGCTGTTATCACATCTATAGACGCGCGCGCTTACCCGGGACAATTCCGAGAAACGAGATTCTAGTAGCACGGCTTTAAGCGGCAGGCTTCCGAGAAATGTTTCGTCTAGCTAGGAGGAACGTGTCCCGGCTCCGAGCAACATTTTAAAACTTTTCCCAAAATGTTCCGGCTGGAGACGTGTTCCTCGAACGTTCAGCCAATCAGACGAAAGGTCAGCTTCTGAAGGATCATGGGTAACTTTCAATATGGCGATGGGTCTCACTGTGAAGTGATGGATGGTGGAAATAGAGGCCGATTTAATTATTGCTGTTTTGTTGTAATACAACTGCCTGAGTCATTTTTTAAATGTGTATATATTCATTAAATATATAATCGTGGAAATTTCAGAGTTGACATTATTTTACGACGTTCTTGCATTTCGGATTTGTTTACAAATTGTTCGTAGCCAAAAGTTCGCCAAATTTGTCGCATTTCGTGCTGATCGTGTATTATAACACTGTTATGTAATAGAATTTTATTTCTTAAATTTAAGTTGAATAATTTTTTAAAATCCGTTTGTATATGCGTGGCTTTTCTCCTAATTACTTATCTTTTAAATTGTTAACTGCATAATCAGTGACACATTTTAAACAGCATAAAAGATTCATAAAAAAGAAAAGCATAGCTTATGTAATAATGAGAATACTCATTAAATTTGTCTATTATTTTCATGTTATTAATGAAATACTTTTTGAATTATAAATACATTAGAAACTATACTTTTATTGTAAATGCTGCATATTGAAACATTGAAAATTTATGGATTTATTATTATGCATGAGGAAAAACATTTGTATATACATTCATTAATATAAATCTTATTCATTACATTAATACTAATAAATATATATTAACAACTTCTAAACATCGCATCTCTCTCTATCTGTATGTAAATATATGACTTATTAGATGTGTATATATATATGTATGTATGAATACAAAAATGAACATTGCCAAGAAGTTTATTTGAAGTTACTTTTAATTCAGATAACGATTATGTAATTGGCAGCAACTATAGTTATCAGTTCTTTGCAAATTATTATGGGTATGTAATAATCAGTTGAAAAAAAATAATTGATGAGTATTTGAGTACTAAAGAGTGTACACATTTTGTTATTGGGTTAATTCATAATTATATCATACGTATGATCTACGTAATAAAAACATGACTAATAAATAATAAGAAATGTAACAGCTGTGCATTTATAACATTTGATTACTTAAAACAGCGCACAACTGATTATCACCTTCATGTCTGTTTACATAATGAATTGCACTTTCCAATTAAGTGCACGGGCCTACTAATGGCCGAAGCGTCGTTGAACACTGGTAGTTCTGTCTCAGGTTAGAATGCCGCGAACGGGCTGGCTACATGGGACGTTTTCCTTGGTTTGCCCCATTTGTAACTGGTATACGAGCCAGTTTTAAAAAATCTTCTACAAAGGGATCCCTCTTGTTGTTATCCCTCGAGGCTTTGCGGTAATCACATAAAACCAACTGAGCCACCAGCGGCCGAGCGGTAAAGTCGCAGAACACAGGTAGTTCGGTCCGAGGTTCGAATCCCGCGAACGGGCTGGCTGCATGGACGCTTTCGTGGTTTCCCCATGTGTAACGTGTATACGAGCCAGTTTCCCTTAGAAAGTCCTCCCCGAAGGCATCCCTTCCCTTAGGCAGATAGCCCTAGTGTGCTTTGCTGTAATCTCAATAAATCAAACCATAAAACAAACTCATGATGTGAACACCTAATTTCTAGAGTTGGTATAATTAATGTGTTTTAGGTATATTACCGAGTGTTCTATGGGACAGTAAACAACTCGCATATGTTTGATTGCTCATGTATTCATATGCTTTATTTGATCTTCATTTTGCTGAATAGTATCTGCTGGCTGTGAGGAGGTAAATATCAGCCATATAGATTTTTGTCATTTGAATGGACAGAACAGTAATTATGAGCCATAAAGTTAGTCAGAAAATGCTTTCACCAGGTCACAAATTTTCCAGTGAGCCATCAAATTTTCATTGAAATGCAGACAACAGAAAATACACATAAGCGATGTGTGATAAATAAACTTATCCAGCACATGTTTTTAAACTATTCTTAGGTGTATACATAATTTGGCTATTACTGGTGTAATTGATTGCTATAACCAGAAGTGTGTTTATCTGTTACATGAAGTGCCAGAGTGGAGATCAAAGTGATTAACTTGATAGCAATCACCTTTCTATTATCTTCCATTACTAACAATAAAGTTTAAAACGGAAAGCGTGTGAGCGATACAAAACAACACGAAGAAGCGAATGTCACTTGAAAGGAAACGTCACTTTCGCCAATCTGAGCGATAACTGATTCTTGTTTGACTTTCAGCCTGTTTGCCAAGTGAAGATGGTAACCCTATTTCGCCAAAGGCCGTTTCTCAGAACTGTTGCTACAAACGTTTTGTCCCGGCAACAAACAGCTAATGTGATAACGGCTTAAGTGCTAGTGGTGAATGATAAAGTAACAGGCCAGTGAATAGGACTCAAGGCACCAATCGAGTTTTCTGCACACTCTCCACTTACGCCCTTCGATTGTTTCTTATGGGCCACAGTAAAAGATGAGGTGTACTGTCGTAAACCACGTCACCTTCTTACGGTTTATGATCAGATTCAAGCGGTGAGCTAATCTCATTTTTGGTACGAGGTACGGAATCAGTCGTAATTCGTACTTAGAAATGTACAGATGAAGACCACCATTTAGAACATTTACTTTAAACACCATTTGGAACATTCTGTTTCAGAAAGTACACTCATATTGCAAATTGGACTACAGCCTTACGTTTTCTAGAAATTTAACATTTTAGGTTGAAAAATAAATTTTCTATGACAGTTTAAAGTTTGTGTACATTTTTCAAACGTACCCTGTACTTTTACAACCGAGACCAATTATGGCGACAAAGACTTCAAGATTGACAAGGAGTCAACCTGCGTCTCATGAACGAGATACGTGTCATTGTAATAAGGGCAATTGCCAAACATGCATACATGTTTGGTAGTTGCTGCTGTTTCATTTAAGCAATTCTTATAAATACCAGAAACTGTTTCTTATAAATATTCGTGGTTAAAACGGTTCTTTGTTTTCCATATTCTTCGCGTGTTTCTTCGGGAGAAACGAACACATAAAGGAAGTGGGGAAGAAGCTGCTTTTGAACAGATAAGGAATCAATGATATCGTACAAGAGCAAACCTTGTACTTAAGGTAGTAGTCCCTTTACTACACATACAATATATATACTTCATAAAGTAAACAATAATATTGCCTTGAATATGAAGAAAGTATTGACTTGAATATGCGAACAGAGAAATATAAAAATGAGTGTAAAGCATAAGGAAGTAAATAAGAAACATAAAATAAAAGAATAGTAAAATAATTTAGGAAAAAGTATCATCTGCTCAGACGGGAGATAACGTCACAGCGGGAAAAGCAGAATTTTGGTTACGTTTTAGAAATGTACTCTTTTAATTTTTATTAAAAAAACAGAAGGAAAGCAGAATAAAAATCATAAAAATTTAAATAAAATTAAATAAATAGATCACATTTCAAAATTAAAGATCGAAAAGATACATTTCGTCAGTTGTAGTGGGCGAGAAATAGCTAAATTTTAGCTTATAAAATAGGCGGACAAATGCTTTGCGTGGAAACTCTCATAATCGACATCAAAGAGTTAAATCTGATTAAGGTTTCTCAATTTATATACATATATATAAAAGGTTTTATACGGACAATTTAGGCAGAAAAAATATTTTTTTTCCCGAACTTCAGCGCGAAATTTACTTAACAATGGCTTTAAACCGCTTAATAAGTTGAGTATTTCTGAGCAAAATAAAAGAGGAAAGACATACCATGTTAACATAAATCTTGTAGGATCTCCCTGCTTTCATGAATATACCTCTTTCGAAAGGATTCACAGCTTCGTATTGTGAATGAACGGAAAACAGGATTCCTGGTCGATCACCGGGAACCAAGATCTCATCCGGTTGCACGTTGAATTTAAATGTGCTTACGGGTGTTGGAACTGAAATCGAGTGTTCAAATTTTAGTATTTTCCAAATTAATTTCTATTTTAGTTTTGATGACTTTATTTATAACATTTTTATACCATTAGCTATATATATATACATTCATATACTCTATGGAAAATGCCACAAAAAACACTCATGCAATTAGCCATTTTCCTGGATCCATTTTCCGAGTAGAACTACCAGCATTCAGCATCTTAGCCACTAGGCCGATGGAGAAATGCTGGGAATAAAAATTTAATCGTATGTCCAAAATTATTCAAATTAGCGTGAATATACTGTATACAGTAAGATTTCAGATAGAATAAGGAGATTTTACGTTATCGACGTGTATTAGAATACATTAGCATCATGTTTTCTATAATGAATCTCGGCAACTTCAAAATAAATAAATAAATAAATAAAATAAACGTACACCAAACGGCCTATATTGGCAATAAATTATTCTATTTATGTTCAGATGTTTATAACTCTTAAAAATTTTTCTGCTAATATTGTATCCGTACTTCATTCTTTTTAAACTTATTACCTTCTTTTATGGAATATACTCCCGATAATATTGCCTAACAGTTAAGCCTGATGCTATTTAAAACTTATAAATGAATCTCTTGTAATTTCTATATTTCAACACCTCAATTTAATTATTTATAAAGACTATTAATTTTAATATTGTTACGTTTTTCCTTTTCTGACACCACTTGTTGCGTTATTTTCTTCGTTCACGTTCGTACGAGGTTCGTAGATTTGGAGTGAATAACGATGACACTTGATGAAGTATCGAAACACACTTTATTAGCCAGTATTGTCAGGACAGCTCCAAAACACGTTTTACAGTCGTCGATGAACTACTATAAACACGCTGACACGATCAGCGACACAGCCTTCAGGTTATCAGGCTATCACGGTGGAGACAGCTTCCTGCAAAGCACCCGACTCTGCTTTCCGGAGTACAGCTCCCGATTCTGCTTGGTCATTCTTGGAAATCCACGTACTCTCGAGACCCTCCACGCTACAACTCGCGATGCCCTCGATGACACACGAGAACAGCTCCCGACTCTTCGGTTCAGTCGCTCCCGGAGCTCAACACGCTCTCTCGACGATGCACTAACCGCGTTATACTAACAGACTCCTTCGGTGCACTCGACGATCCACTCGGCACTCGCTGCCCGGCTGTCAACTCGATCGACTCCGCAGGGATTGACTGGCTAGATGAGACACCAACTCGATAGTCACTTTTTCGCACTCTATGCGAGGCGCACACACTCGTAACTAACTCTCCGTGTACCAGCAGGGTTTATATAGCTTTTGACTGGTGTTCGAGAACAATCTGGGCTAAACCGGTAAGAATTCGTTCCAGAAGGTTCTCCAACCGTCCATGGTGTTAAATGAGCGATTTCTCGCCAAATGTGGCAACCCTGCCTTCCCTAGCCATTTTATGGCAACCCTGAAACTGCTTTGCGGGGAAGCTATCTTACAGCGCCTTTACATTTCATAACAATATGTATTCTATTTGTGTTCTATTAGAGCTAAGCAAACTCTGTAACTCTTGGAATAAAGATTTTGTAATTATTCTAACTTATGATTCTTTAATAAAACTGTACTAAATAGAGGATAGTGTACTCAAACGCCTTAACTGTGTTAAATACACGACACATCAATGATTATGAGACTGAGTAAATTAATAAGTTTAAGAAGCTGCCGTTTTGAAAATGTTTCTGGAAGTTGAAATAATAAATTTGAAATGTTACATTGATGTAGCATTCCAGGGGCATAAAATATTAAACCTTTTTTACTTCCTTGTACGAAGTAAAAAGGAAGTATTGTAATCGCGAAAAGTTTCAGGCAGCGCAATTTAAAGATGTTTTTGCGTGATATCTGTACGTAAGGACAGAATAAAAGACTCGTTTCCTCCAAAAAAAATTATAAAACTGCTTTAAAATTAATTCTGAAGAGAATTTTTCGTGGCATCTGTATGAATGTATGTACATACCTACGTACGTATCTCGTACGACTCAAAAACGAGTAGCCTCAGACGTAGAAATTTTGTATATAGGACTGCTATAACATGTTGATGTGCACCTCGTATTTTGGTTGCAATCGGCCGCACCAAACGTATATAAATATATTTATATATATATCCACTCTGTTACCCGGCTCAGTGATCTCAGTTTCTTTACTCTTATATGTTTGTAAATTGTACATTTTTTGCTTTAAAAATGATTGAATTATGTTGTTTTTGTCTTCCGGTTAAGGTTTTTATGTCTTTAGTAAATCTGTATGCAATAGTTTTAGAATTATCAACAATTTTAAAGTTGTTTAAGTGCCGCTAAGCCTAATAATTTTTTTGATGGCGGCCATAGCTTGTTTACATTTGAAGCAGCAGACTAGTGGATTTGTTGCCAATCTAGAGAAACTTAGCTTCGCAACAACAAAGATAACGCCTTTATTTATTATTGGCATTTAAATCCTGCTTAATCCTTTCTGGAATTTTTTCGAGGAAATAAGTGTTTAAGATTTAATTCGTAATGTTAATATAGATATTTTGAGTTTTTATTATTTTTGCCTTCTCGAGAAATGAGAAATACTGAATCGTCTGTGAAAAACTGTTTCTTTTCTTTTCTTTTTTTTCTTTTTTTTTTTTTTTTTTTTTTTTTTGCTTAATTTCTTTTAGACATCATTCTAGCTTTATTATAGTATTTGAATAGAACATGTCGCAACGATTATAGATAATTTTATTCTTTAAATGATATAAAATTTGTGCATTCTGAGTTATAATATGAAAGAAATATAATACTTTTAAGTGAATTTAGTGCCAGAGTGTCGCTATTTTAAACCAATATTAGAGTGAATTTTAAAGAATGCATTTATTCTATCGTGGTTTATGCGCTGTCGGCGAAGTAGATTTAATTTAATCCAATAAGTTTAAATGAAATGCAAGAAAAAAGGCGTATAATTTATTATTCCGTACAAGGAAGTTATGTGGTGTACACATCAGATTTTATAAAATTAAAATAATAGTTACAAAGTTTAAAATTATAATTGCAACGAATAGTAAAGTCTAGTCTTAAATAATCAGCTTACATAGAAATGTTAACAATCGATAATTATTGAGTTTAGAAATTTAGAATGGAACAACTTCTAATAAAAGAAGGCTTAGATAATGTTGTGTTCAAAGAAAAACAGAAACTGATTGTGATATATGGTTGAAAAACGACCTTAAATGCCAAAGCTTTAATATGCTTTAACATTTCGGATTCACAAATTATCTACGTTTTGCACAGTAAATGTGCTAAAGAAGTATGAGGGAGGTTAAAATCTATCTACGAATGTGTAAAATTAACAAATAAATTGCTTCGGCTCAGAAAATTATATTCTATTAAGTATAATGAAAGTTATAAAGCGCACGAACACATCAAGGGAGTATTAGAATTCACTGAGAAGCTACATAGTATAGGCAAAGAAACAGAGCTTAAATTGCGCCGGAGCCCACCGGACCTAGGCTCCGATACTTCTTAGTTTGGGGGATAAATCATTATTATACCAGAGCGTGCCAGAGTAGAAATTTGATCTCAAAAATTTTATTTCTAATAATAAAATCATATTAAAAATTGCATATTAAATTTTTATTTTTCTCTTGATATTTTATTAAATTTTAATTTAAACTATTTAGTTACTTTAAGCATTAATTATTTAATTATTTTAATAATTAATTATTTTATGATTTTAATAATTCATTATTTAATTTTTTAATTAGTGATAATTTTATTAGTCATTTTTATTAGTCCAAAGGGATTTGAATCCCGAAGGACTATTAGTTTCGTTTTGGCATTTTGCGTCGGACTCATAAATGTCGGTTCACTTTTCAAACTGTTGCCACAAAATGTTAGAGTCCTGCATTATATTTGAAGAAATTAAATAATGAAAAATCTGCATAAATGTATGTATATTTCTCGTATTGTGATAAAACAACGGTACATAGAGTCATCGAATTTTGAATAACGTAATCCTCCAACGAATATGAGCATGTGGAAGACCAAATTTGAAATTTGAAATTTGTTTTATGATCGATTTCCTATTTTTTAAAACTTTGACGAATTTTTGATTAACAAACTCAAGGATTTCAAAGCGAGAAATGTCAACGTTGTGCAGAAAAAAACATTTTTATCTCCAGCGCGTGAGTCTCTGTATCGGAAATTCTAAAGATATGCTCGTTTTAAAACTATTTTGCGATATTGCTGTTGCACTGGATCTTATGGTTTAAGTGCGAGGAACATGATATTTAATAAAGAAAGGTAACACACAAAATGTTAAAAAACGCCCCTTTGGACGTAAATTAAAATCTAAAACATTTCAGATTTTTTATTATTATTATTATTTATTTTTGTTCCTCTTTCCTGACGGTCTTTCATAGGGCTCCGGCACTTCCAATTTTAGGAATTAAGCCCTGCGAAGAAATAAAAAGAAATAACCTATTAGCAATTTTACTATGCTCTTTACTAAATTCTTACAACTCGTTAATAATCTTAATAGAGTGTAAATCAGAAACTGAACTGCCGCTAGATTTTGTTAAAAATGAATTAATAGATCATTACTGTAGACGTGTGGAAACTAAGCAAACTCAAAAATGCGATTCATTTGCTTTAAAAGATAAAAGCAAAGAGAAATAAAAATAATATATTGCACGATATTGTGCTTATTGTAAAAGAAATAATCATGCAAGAAATGAATATTTCCATTTAAAACGCAACGCGAGGACTTTCCCCAAAGCAGATGTAAACAGCAGAGTAAGAAAATATTCTAAAAATTATAAAAGTAATGCACATCAAATAACAAACACTCCAAAGTTATAAAACACTCAAATAACAAACAGTCAAAGTTATTTAAAATTCAAAATTTAAATGGTCAGATAACACAAATAAAATTAGAAAATGTATTATATATACCTTATTTAGATATTAACTTACTTTTTGTTCAATCGTTGTACGAACAAAGGTTG